TTGTTTTTAACTGTCATTTTTTAAATAACAACTCGAGTTTTTATTTGTTTTTATCAAATCGTCTCGTCCCGAAAACTAACACAAAAACGATCGAGTTCTCGGAGTATCTCGGAAACGTCAAAGATAATGGGAGAATTATTAAAAGAAACTCAAAATCTTAAAAGATCCTTAGAGAGGTATATTAGCATTTTCAAAAGTTTAATTTTATCTAATATATAATTAAGATTATTAGTTTGAAAGTTTTATATAAATATAGTTTTTAAAAGTTAATTAACAAATAAATTGTAGGTTAAATGTATTATTTAATAAATAATACTTAGCAAAAATTGACATTAAATTAAATCAAATTATACATTAAATAAAAATTAACGATTTATTCCTTAATAATTCATTATTTATTTCAATTTATTTAATTTATAGTTTTGTAACAATGTGTAATTTTTAAAATTTACATGATTATAATTATACCTAACTAATTTTAATTTATAAAAAAAAATTACCACTAATTCGATAAATTTATTTGATTTATACTTTTTAACAATGTGGAATTATCAAAATTAACATGGTTAGAATAATAAATAACTTTAATTTGTTAAAAGAATTATTATTTTTCGATAACAGTTATTAATATATTAATAGTAATTTATTAATCTTTTAACCAAAAAAATTAAAATCATTAATCTACTAACCTCCGTTCAATTTTTACATGTTTGAATTTGCAAAACGAGATACTCGTGAAGCTCGCTCGGATAGTCGAGAAGATCGTTTTATTAAAACAAAACAAACTATATTCTCGGTTGTCAAAATTAAAAAGTCCGATTTTCTCGCTCGTTTCTCGGATCGTCTTGCTCATATGCATCACTAGTTATCATTAGTATAACACATTTTTAGTCAGACAAAAGTTTTATAATTTTAGGTCTTTGAGTATCAGTAGTAAAAGTCAGTTTTAGTCAGCCAAAAAAAATTTTTCACCCTCAAATCACATTTTCTCGTGACCGTAGTAAATAATTATTTTAGTTAGACGTAGTTTTTAGTTCTAGTAATTTAAAATCGAAGTAGTAAAAGTCAGTTTTAGTCAGACATAAATATTTGCTATTTTTATTTTCAGTAGTATGAAACAGTTTGAGGCAGACAATTCATATGTAAAATTCTCGAAATTTTGTTATCAGTAGCAAAACACAAGTTTAGTCAGACAAAAAAGATTTAAATTCTCATAATTCTCGTTTTAGTAGTAAAATAGAAATTCAGTCAGACAAAACGACTTTAATTCTTTTACACTTCTAGCGTAAGTAGTAAAATAAAAGTTAAGTCGGACGAAACGGTTTAAATTCTTCTAATTCTGGTGCGAGTAGTAAAAACGAGATTTAGTCAGACAATGTCTTTGAAATTCGTGTAATTCTGATGTAAGTAGTAAAAAATCACATTAGTCAGACAAATAATTTTTATTTTTTGAAAGTTTTGATTTCAGGAGTTACCAAAATTTCAAAAGTGCTTAACGTTTTGTCCGACCAAAATTGTCTTGTACCACTGACAGTGAAATGAAAGAATTAAAAATTGTCTCAGTGTTACAGTTTTTTCTACTAATACATGTGCTTTAAGAATTTGTAATAAATCAGACTATAAAAGTGTTTTACAACCTACTGAAAATTTAAATACAAATTTTTTGGCTAATTATAAAGGTGTTTTACTAATAAATATGGGGGTAAAAAAATTATTTGTCTGACTATATGGGTGTTTTACTACTGAAAATAAAGTTAAAAAAATTTTGTCTGACTACACAGGTGTTTGACTACTGAAAATAGAGATAATTTTTTTTTGTCTGACTATAAGGGTGTTTTACTACTAAAAATAAAAATACAAAATTTTGTCTGACTATATAGGTGTTTTACTACTAAAAACAGAGATAAAAAAATTTGGTCTTACTATAAAGATGTTTTACTATTAAAAATAGAAATAAAAATTTCTGTCTGACTATAAGAGTATTATTTTACTACTGAAAATAGAAATCAAAAAATTTTGTCTGACGAGAAGAATGTTTTACTACTAAGAACAGTGCAAAGTAGTTTATATTCTAAGTAGTAGACAATAAATTTAGTCAGACTACTGAAAATTGAATTAAAAAATTCGTCTGACTATAATGGTGTTTTACTACTGAAAACAGAGATACAATTTTTTTGTCTGACTATAAAGATGTTTTACTATTAAAAATAGAGATAACAAAATTGTTTAACTATATGGGTGTTTTACTACTGAAAACGTAATTAACAAAATTAATTAATTTAATTGTCTGACAAAAATGGACTATTTCTATTAATTTTATAGTTACAAGAAATTTATAATTATCTTCCATATCACTATAAATTACTTTTACTATCTTTTTTTCTTGTATATAATAAAAAGTAAAATAATCTCTCTCTCTAAGAAAAAGATTAAAGATAATTGAATGAGTTGGATATTGTATTTTAACGAAAGCATATCGTATACATATATAGATATGAACAAAGGTGGGATGCTGATAATTCAATAAGACGTCAGCGATTAATGAGCACCTAGAATTGATTGCAATTAGGGTCCTATGACACAGCAGCCACATTCACTTTGTCTCTATTTCACTCCCTTTCATGGAACATATAACAAGAGCGCAACATACCTCATGGCACATCTGAAAGCTCACATAGGTAGCTTCGGTAAACTGAAGAGTAAAGGGGTAAAATTGACTTAGTAATTAACGGATACGCTGATTGAATCTTCTTCAACGAGATTAGCTAATATGTACATGCTCATCAACGTGTTTAGTTTACAAAGTATTTTCTCAATTCAATTAGAAAAAAAAGGAAGAGCGCAACGCAAACGTGAAAAATTTGAAATTAACTAAATATTTTATAAAATAATAAATTACTTTAATAATTAATTTTAGAATATAAATTTTTTTATTTTAATATTTAGTTTAGAAGGAAGTTAAAAATTAGATTACATTGTTTTTTTTATTACTTTGTCTCTTTTTTCTCTTTGAAATTATATTCGCTGTTAAAAAAAAAGAGTTGTGTATAATATTTATGCGTCAAGAAGACAATTCTCTTTATATTATATACGTTTGAAAATTTATACTCACAAAGATCATTTTCACAATTTCATTAAAGATGGGACTGTTGAATATTCCACGCCCAGTTAAACGTTTCACTTTTTACGTTTTAATTTAATATCACTTTATACTGCTATATATGTATATAAAGAATAAAAGCAGATTTTCCCTTTCATCTGTGAGTAACTTAAAATGAGAAAAATTAGTTAAAGCTACTTCATTTCGTTTCACAATTGAAACGAAAGAAATGCCGTTGCTCTCTCTCTCTCTCTTTTATATAGAAAGAGTATATGCTATAAAAATTTTTTAATAGCAATGATTAAAAGTTACTTAATGACACCTTTTAATAGTTATTATATATTTTATTTGACAATAAAATAATAATGTCTATTAAAATTTATTCTATTGTATTCGTATACTAAAACTTATATTATTATTATTATCATTTATTTTTATTATTATTAGTATTATTTTTATTATTATTAGTATTATTTTTTTTTATTATTTTTATTATTTTTCTTTTAATTTTTATTATTTATTATTAATTATTAAAGTTTTAGAATGAATTCCAAAAATTAAAAAAAAAATCTACAGAGCACGTTTTATACGGAAGTTTCATTCATATGGATTTAAAACGCATATATATATGTTTAGACATATCAAACAAAAAGGATATTTACAGAATTAAAGTAAATATTATTCCTCTCTTCCAATACTTTTGGAATTACGGTCAAAAACTATTTTCTTCATTTATTTGAAAAAATAATAGCTAAAAAAAAATTTTGGAATAAAATTTTATTTTTATTTATTAACAGCATATTAATATTAATAATTCTCGATAATAATTTAAACAAATCATATTATAGAAAAAACCATTTAAAAAAGAAAAAATAAAATAAAAAATCAACAATAAATTTAATAAGAAATAAAAATTTTTTTTTATATAAAACCAAAAAAAAAGAAGAAATGATGAGAACAATTTAAATTCCATAGAATACTTTTCGTCACGTCATAGAGCTTTTAAAATAAAAAAAAATAACCTCACGGGTGAATTTTCCGTTTTTTTTTCTCTTTCTTTCTTTTTTTTTTTTTATTACAATTTTCAAGATGCAATTTACTATTTCTTTTTACTCTTTTCATCGATTTTACTGAACCGCGATGAAATGATCGTCAGGTCAGGACTCCAAGCTCAATAATCCCCAAAGGGATAAAGCTAGAAGTTGCTGAGGTTAAGAACGGTGTGAAAAGAGAAAAGAAGTCGTTGAAAGGTTAGGAGAAGGGAGTGGAGAGGGGGGGGGAGGGGTGTATGAAAGAAAAAAGGGAAATGGTGGAATAGTAATACCAAATGAAAAGTCGAGTGGACCATCTTTTTTCCACCCAATTCATGGATTATCTTAATAGAAATTTGAAAAAAAAAAAAAAAAAATTTTTTTTTCATTAAATTAAATGTTCAATTTTCTCACCCATTTTTCTGATGTCATATTCTCCAAAAGAGATATAAGAAAATATAGAAGAAATTTTTTTTTACAATTTCAGGTTTTAAAATAACTAAAAATTATTTTTTATACATCGTGTTTTATTATTATTATTTATAATTAATTCGTCATTGATTTGTTATATTAATCTCATAGTTGAAAATATTCAGTACCCTTTTTTTTGATGGGCTTTATTGTTACTGTTATTATTATTATATAAGTATTATTCATGATAAAATTTATTATTGTAATTATCTACGTAATTGTATAACAATTGTAATTTTTTTTTTATGTAGAAAATTATGTTAATGTAATTCTATAAAAAATGTTATTTTTTTTTTTTTGTAAAATCGAAAAAATAATTTTTTTTTCTACAATAATGATTTAAAAAAAGTAACGATGCTCGAGAGAAATAAAATAAAGTGAAGTATCATTATTTTCAGATTCAAGACAAATCCTCATAATAGAAAGTTCATAGGTTAGGGAAAAGTTTCATGAAGAAAACTTTTACTTTACTGAAGTGGTGTGAAGATTGGTCAGTGTGAAATCGATATTATTGAGAAGAGCATGGACCTCGTATATACGCAGGAAAGTTTCTTAATTGAAAATCAATGAAAGACTTGCTTGAATTGAAGGCAATTTGATATATATATACAATATAAAAGGTTTCTATATATTTAAATTTACTTTATATTATTTTATAACTTTTCTATATTTGCACAATTTTCTTGCTCGAATAAATAAATGGAATTAAATTTCCGTTTTATTGGACAGAATATTATGTGTCTGACTGGAACAAAAAAAAAAAATTTCCAGAATATGAATATTATATTTTTGCCTCAATTTGCCTTGTCTGACTTAAAACCACTTCCGCTACTGAACAAAAAAAAAAATTATATTCTTCCAGAAAGAGCTTATTCTCTTTTTGTTTTTGTAAAAGGGGGGAAAATTGCTTGTCTGACTGAAATCAACTGTTTCCACTGTATATTGTCATTTTTCGTCACAGAAAAAAATTGCAGTATTTTTTTTTTAAAGAAATTATTTTTTAATAAAAAAAATTACTATTTTATTTAGTAATATTTTTTTTTACTAAATTTTTAGTGAAAAATGACTAAAAAAATTAGTACAAAATTTTTAATAATATTAATTTAGTAGTAGTAATTTAAATTTAAAGATTAAAAAGAAAAATATGAAAAAAAAACCTTGGATGCTTTTTTCAGTTTTTGTTTTTTTTTTCGCCAAGGCACACACGCGAAACTGAAGAGATAGCTTTAATGATACTTGGAAACGGTTTTTCTCTCAACCAAAAGTTATAGAGGACAGTCATGCGCAGAATTTACACTTGCGGTGAAAACTTTGCATTAACATCTGTGTAGTTTTCATAATTACTATAGAGCTTTAGCTTATTCTTGAAATTAACAATGAACTTGTACATTTTGTTGCTTTGCCTTTGAAGTTCCTATTTATGGTAAAGTTAAAAACACATGTGACAAAAATAAAAACGCACATTTTTAAAAAAAAAAATAATATAAAATAAAAATATAAAAAATATATTTTTTTTTTAAATTAAATTCTTTTTGAAAAATTTTATTATGTATGAATTTCATTTTTTTGAGCAGAAAATTGCTTTTTTTAGAGTTGAAATTTAACACTGAAAACTTTTTTCATAACTTGTAGGATAGGAGAAGAGAAAATTACTAAGTAACGTTCCTGTGATATTACCCTCAGTGTGACGAAAACGTCTGGCTGATAACTTAAAGCGACGTCGTCGACGAAGCACTTTCGGTTCGATAAGGTAATAAAGGAAAAGAATCCTCAATCTTGAAAGATGAAGTTCTCGCTTCTCATGTATACAAAAAAAAAACACACCTCTATTTTATTATAAAAAGAAATATTTTTCACATTTCTCGAAATATATTTATATTTTTTTTTCTCTATTTCAATTTTTTATTAATAAATAAATTTTTTATTTTTATTAAATTGTTTCATGTACAAACTGAAACAATAAAAAAAAAAAATTCTATAAAATTTTACAATAAAAATATTTTTATGGAGGGAAATATTTTTTTTTTTCCAGTATATTGGGATGCCCCGACGAGGCTTGGGTGACACGTGATGTCTCGCTGGTGTTGCTATTGGTTGTGGTGCTGTTGTTATTGTGGAAATTCAAACAACAGTGGTAGTAGTGGTAGTACGGGATTTGGTATAACATCGGGAATTTCAGCTCTACTTTCATTGATAGTTGTCACAGGTGCTATCTCAACTGGTGAGTGGTTACTGACGGAAGAGAAGTTACCGAGATCACCATCCGCAAACTCATCCGTTGAGCCAGATAGTCGACTAACATATAGCGGACTTTGGAAATTTTGCGTTGCCATAAGTAAGCTATTCACATTATATCTAATAATTTTCATATTTCATCCGCACTCACACATTTTATGTGTGACATAAATTTTACATACACACGATGATATATTCATTCGATTATCCAAACAAATTTAAGAGTAAAATTTTCATATATATGGTGTGTTAGAAATTTTTTTTATCAAAAGTTATTTGATTTATTTTAAACTTATACGAAATTTAATAATTATATTTTAGTAATCAATTTTTTCATAAAATTGTTTAATATTCAATTTCAATAAGGAGGATAAAATTTTGTTTTATTAATTGTTTTATGTAAAATTAGGAATTTATTCTGGGCGCAGAACAATTTTTAAATTCAAATATTGACAAAAGCCGCTGGCTCTTTGGTAAATTTCTCTAGGGACACAAAAAAAAACTTTTCTGTTTTTTTTCCTTATTTTCTTATGTCGAATGGTCTAGAAAAGCTATTTTATAAGTCGCGAGCCACGCCCTCATTTTATCAATTCGAAAGCTATTGGTTCTTGTCCACTTGGTGGGGGAAAAAACAGCGCATGCGCCTTGCGAACCTTCTCTAAATACTTGTGAAATATAATATAAATTTACTATTTCTACTGCTAAACAATAAATAAATTTAAAAAAATAAATAAATAAATAAAAAATTAATAAAAAATTAATAAAAAAAATTAAAAGAAATTTATTATTCTCCGACTAAATATATAAAAAGTAAAAAAAAACTACTATAAAAGAAACCACTTCTACCTAACTAAATAATAAATAAATAAAATTAATAATAATAAGAAAAAAAAATAAAAATAAAATTTACTAAAAAAAATATGCTCGTTATTATATAATAAAAATAAAAAAAAATTAAAAGAAATTTATCACTCTCCGACTAAATATACACAAAAACTAAAAATAAAATTCTTTTTTAAAAAAAAAACAAACGCATTTTACTGTAGGAAAAAAAATGACTAATTAAAAACTCATTTACGACAAAATTTCAAAGTAAAGTCATATATGTATATGTTTTCTGCGAAATAGTCGAGCAACGAGTTTCCGGATAGGCGGAAGTGAAAAAAACATGAATTTTTTTTTTTTCTTGCACTATGTATAAATTTTGAAATGTCACACCTCGGTTGAAATATACATTTATAGTCGGTAATATTCGAGAGCAAGCAAAGAGTTCCGGTTGAAGGTGGTCGAGAGATGGGGTTTGGCTTCGAGACAGAATTGCAGAAATAGAGAGAGAAAGATGAAGGAACGGAAATGACTCATTACGAGGCGTACCGGAAACCACTTTCCTTCTGCTAGCTAACTCAGAGAAATGATGCTTCTCGCATAGTCTCTTCTCTGAGGAAATCTGAAAAAGTGACAAAAACCTTTATTTCTTTCTTTCCTTTTTTTTTTTGTTTCCCGAGCAGCGCGCAAAGAACCTTTATTTAAAAACGCACCTCTCTCTCTCTCTCTCTCTCTCTCTCTCTCTCTAAATCTAAAAGAAAAATTCGACAGTAAGTTTTGTAATAGTTACATTTTTTAAATATAAATAATTTCAATTTGTTTGTTTTTACATTGTAATTAAATAGATAAATAATTTCAATTTATGTTTGTTTTTAACGATTAGAAAAGTGATATTTTTTAGAGTGATAAAAATTCTGTGTATGAATGACGACAATTATTGGGGTTTTTTTTTTTTTTTTTTTTGCTTTTTTATTGCAGAGATTATTACTAAAGTAATAAAAATTTTATCGAGATAAATCATTGGTTTGCCATCACACACGGCATTACATAAACTTGTGTCCTATACACATCACTAGACACAATCCGTTAAACGTTTCGTTTGGCATTCGAATATTGAAAGGGACGTAATACGGCTTACTTCCGTCACTCACCGGAAATGACTATTCGCATTCACCAGTCTCTCTCTCTCTCTCTCTCTCTCTCTCTCTCTCTCTCTCTCTCTCTCTCTCTCTCTCTCTCTCTCTCTCTCTCTCTCTCTCTCTCTCTCTCTCTCTCTCACTCACTCATTCCACATCAACAGTCAACATCCCCCTGTAACAACCATTTTATTTCCAATTTCTCTGTCCCTTATAATTCCGTTATAGTTTATATTTAAATCCGTAAAAGATACTTTTTTTTTACTAACACTCTCTAAATGTAGATAAAGGGTCATTTTTTTTTTTTTTTGGAAAAGAATTGGGGGAAAAAATCTAGGAAACGGTTGACTTTTTAGTTATGATATAGAAGAAAAAAAAATTACCTATAATTAGAAACGAGTAATCTACTTTCTGGAAGTAAAAAAGGCATTTACTCCCTAGGGGCAGAAAATATTGTTTTATAACCTAGAGTTAAAAAGAGTAATTCCCCTCCCTAGGGTTGTAAAATATTTTGTACACTAGGGTCAAAAAAGTAATGCTACACATTAGAAATAAAAAAAATTTAGTACCTATAGTTAGGAAAAGTTTTCTAAAACTTCCTAGGATTGGAAAATGTCATTTTGCACACTAGAGTCGAAAAAGTAATGTTACCCTCTAAAATTAAAAATAGTTCCTATGGCTAGAAAATATTTTCCGGGACAAAAAAAAATTATATTATTACACTCCAGAAATAAAAAGATATTCATTTTTATCTCACTAGTGATAGAAAATACTATTTTTCACACTAGTATCAAAAGCGTAATTTTACTCACTACTATCAGAAAAAATTTTTTTTTCTAATACAAAAAAATGTTTAAATTTACATTTAAACAAAAATATTCCACAAAAAAAATTGCATAAACTATCAAACAAATCGACTGGAAATAAAATTAATCGAGTATTAAGAATCGATTATAAATTTTTTTTTTGTATTGTCTGCGCAAGAAGTTGGAGAATATTTCTTCCCGGTGGGAATACGCGTTAAGCAAAGTTTTTTTTTTCTTTACTTTTGGTCGCACTTCTGTTAAAAGAAATGGATGATTGGTCTATCGGTTCACTGGTCATGTATACTACTATCGCGCGCTAAACGTGAGCCAATTAAAGAGATACGTGAGTGAGAGAGTGAGAGAGAGAAAAAAAATGTGAGCGCCTTTGGCATTACGAAATCGACTTTTACCCAATTCTATTCCCGCTTCTTCGATTGAGCGCATCCCACCGCATATTCTGTTGTTACATTCGCAGAAGTTGGTCTTGTGGAAAAAATAACTGCCTGCGCGCTTCTTTCTTTTAATCGAGAAACTTTAAATGGAAATCTCTTATTTTAATTTATTTTTCCAGTTTATTTATTGATTTTATATTTATTTTTGCAAATATTGTAAGTTTGATACAAAAATTTCAAAAAAATACTTTTTTTGTCAAAAAAAAAATGATGTTTCAAAAATAAATATTGGGAAAAATTTGTTTCCAATGTGATATAAATTCTATAATATAAAGAGAAGTTTTGAATTAATAATATTCATGCTTTTAGCAATATTATTGTTGATTCAGTAGCATTTTTTGCTCCCTTATTATTGCTATAATTCATCATTTGCTTTATACACTAAAAAAATATTTATTATAATTAAAATTAAAATTCATATTATATTGAAATGTAACGAAATTTTATACTTTTTATAGAATTTACTTGTCGAATTGCAACGATGAAAATAATGAAAAAAAAAATAATAATATCACAATTTCATGTCATATTTTATTTAAAAAAAAAATATCAACAAAACGAGCGACAAAAGGTGTAAAAGTGAATAATGATTGTATATACATATATATGTATATAGAAAACAAAAGCGAACGCGAATTGAAAAATGTGGCAATAATTCGGATTATTATACCAATGAACAAGAATAAGTCCTTTGTATAAATTATTGACATGAATATAGAAAATGATTTGCTATTATAGGCAATGAAGTTTTATGTGTATATAGCGCTAAAAATATCCAATAATCTGTATATACGTAAATAAAATATTAACACACACAAGCGGTTTAAAATAAATTTAAAATAAATTTTAAATAAATTTAAAATAAATAAAAAAAATGATGTTGCAATAAATATACCTGCTGATATCATTTGTTTGACAAATATTTATTGTACGATTACTTTATAAAATGGTATTAAGAAAAAAAAATTTTTAAAAGAAGTGAGTAATTAAAATTAATTAAATACAAAATTAGAAGAATTTAAAATTTGTTGTCTGACTGAATCTGGTTTCTACTACTTAAAACCGAATTACAAAATTGAACAAAATTTGGCTGACTAACATAATCTTTTACTACTGATTTTTCATAATTTCACGAATTTTTTATTCTTTGTCTGACCGTAACTATCTGTTTCTACTTGTGAAAAATATAAACCATTTTGTCTGATCGTAACAGTCGTTTACTACTTGTTGGAAAATTACAAAAAGTTTTATTATTTGTCTGACTAAAAAAGGGTTTTACTACTTATATTCCAGCAAGAAAAAATTATTATTTGTCTGACTAAAATGGGGCTTTGCTACTTATATTCCATTAAAAAAAATATTATTTGTCTGACTAAAATGGGTTTTACTACTTACATTCTATTTCAAAAAAGTTTTAGTATTTCTCTGATTAAAATTGGTTTTACTACTTATATTCTATTTCAAAAAAATTCTTATTTGCCTGACTAAAATAGGGTTTTACTACTTATATTCCAGCAAGAAAAAATTATTATTTGTCTGACTAAAATGGGGCTTTACTACTTATATTCCATTAAAAAATTATTTGTCTGACTAAAATGGGTTTTTACTACTTATATTCCATTAAAAAAAATATCTTTGTACTCACTGAAAAAATTGCTTTTTTTCTAAAAACTATAGAGTAAAATAAATAATATTAGAAAATAGAATAAAATTGTAAAAAGGAAATTTATCAAATAATTTTTTTTCCCCACATTAATTATTTCGAGAGGACAGAATTGGAAGTGGCTTAATTGTCTAAGCGTTTGATTGCATATAATCAATACTCTGTAATTAGATTATTGGTTGAAGTATGTTACGTTTGTTCCCAGGCTCTCGTATGGAGTACGAATGTTCAGGAATTGAGTACTTTCCAAACGAGGAATACAGTCCAGATTTAACTGATTCCACAATGGCAATACCATGTGAGTAATGAATGATTAATATTTGTTTCATTTATTACAATATATATATCATATTTTTCCCCTATGATCTCTCAAAAGGTTTTTTTTTCAATTACTTAATTAAAAAAAAATTTAATATCCTATTTTTATGAAACTACTTTTAAAAAATAAATTAATAAAATTGAAAAAAAATTAATATAATTTGGGAGTTTAAATTTTGAGAAAATTTTCCGCAATGTCGTTGGAAGTTTACTTAGCGTGAAATCGAGTATAGAGGATATAGTCAAAAGAAGAGAATAGTCTGGCAGAGAGACTGAAAAGCACGCACACAACTTTCCCCCTAGTACCTGTATTCGCATAAATTAGGGTTATAATTTTGGATAAGCAACTCAAAATTTACCTCCAGTGCCTTTACAAGATAACTTTAGTACGATAAACTTTAGCTCTCTCTCACTCTCTCTCTCTCTCTTGGCTAATGAATTTTATTTGGATTTATAATTCGCGCACGAGAAAACCATTTAAAATTATTAAACACTCTCTTTTATTATATAAATAATATTCTTGCCTCTAATTTTTCATTTTTAAAAAATTTAGTATTTGTTAAATTAAAAATTTTTTTTTTAATTATATCTAATTATAATCCCAGACAAAAAAAAATTGTCTCCCTGGCACAATTTTTTTTACTTTCCCGATATATTACAGAAAAATCAAATGTTTGCTTTCGTTTAAAACCTCGTAATCGCTTTTATATATACTTTTCAGTGAAGAAAGCTCTCTTGAAAGTTCATATCCCTGAAATCGATGCTCATATAATGGAATATATCGTCATTTTTAAAATCTTGATCTTTGGCAATTTATTCTTTCAAAAGAATTTTTTTTTGTAAACTAAAATCCATTGTAATGAAAACTAAAAAATTTTCTCTCAAAGAAATTTTTATCCCTATTATTAATAAATAATTTTATAATTATATATAAATTAATATTATTTTATAATAATAATGTTTCCATTTTTTTTTCGATAAAATACGAAAAAAAATCTTTTGTCAAATTAGACAAATATTTTCTTGTGGCGCAAAAAAAAAGAGGTAACGATAAAAAGGTAAATATATACCAATATTGAGGTTCTATATTTCAATAAAAAGCGTGCGGCACTTATATGGGTATAAGGGAGCTTCTGGAGAAAAGCTCTATGTCACGTTTATTAATAAAGAAGCTCTTATATATCTTTCAACAAGCAAAAAATAATTTTCTTTCTTTCCTTTCAAGTCGACAATCTTCTTTTCCTAGTTTCGTTCTCTCTTATTATTATTATTGTATATATATATACAACATTCGTTTAATATCACTTTTCGCAACGTTTTTCTTTTCACAAATCTTCAACCACTTCTCGTGTTAAATCAATGATTTTTTCCCTTTCTTATCTGATTCCATTTTTTATTTTTAATCAGTAAAAATGTTACAATTTTTTTCATTTTAATTTTTTTATTTCCGCAAAAAATGTATATATACCGCATAACAGTTATATAACAATTTTATACATGAAAAGAATTTTTTTTTCATTTTCTACAAAAAAAAAATAATTTTTTTTTTTTTATAATTTTTTTTCACTAAAAAAAATAATTTTTTTTTTTGATAATTTGAATGAAAAAATAATTTTATAATTATATAATTTGTGTTATTTTTTTGTTAACAGACGCCGTTACAAAGTCGGCAATGTTTTTCTTTGCGGCAACACTACTACTGGTGATTGCCGAAGTTTGCTACTTCGCTACACACGTTACCCGTCCAAAACCGAGACTCTGCGTATTCGTCGCCGGGGTGGTTTTCATAGTTTCTGGTGAGTGAGCCGGAAGGCAGACAATTGTATCAAAGCATGAACTATCAGAGGATTTGAACAAACTTCCCACTTTGGAACTTTCCATTGGAATCTAAAGGCGGTTTTCGACTTTGAGAACAACCTTTTGATGTGGTTGCATATTTTTTTTTTTCCTTCTTTATACATTTCTTTCTCAATTCCTCGTATTTTTCATTTTTGTTTCGTATTTTTATAAATTTTTTACTTTACTTTTTTCATTTATTTAAAAAAAAATTATTACATAATAACTTATTATTGAATAATAATTATTAAATTGTTTTTTAATTAAATAATAATATTCTTCGTATTTTAAATAAAGATATAAAAGGCAGGAAAAAATTATTATTATCAAGAAAAGTGTATTGTATAAATCAATTTAAAAAAAATAGACTTGTGTGAATTTATTCGTTTTTATGTTGAAATTTTCAAGAAAGTCTTTTGATTTCTTTCTTTTTTTTTTGTGAATATATATATATTTTTTTTTTTATTCTCTAGCGATGAATAAAATTTTAGTTGAGCACATATATATATTTGAAGAGGTGCTTTTCAAAAAGCAGATCCATTTAAGAAAAGAAAAAAGAAATCCTATAAAAATCTCTGGGCAAAATTCTTTTCACTCTTTTTCAGGTCTCCTGATGCTTGTTGGCATGGTAATGTACATTTCCGTTTTTAAGGCTGAAGTGGGAAGCAAGCTCAGGGCAAGATCCTCTTTTCAGGTCAGTAGATCTTTGATTGAAAATCAAATTAGTAATATTTTTATAAAATTAATTTAATAATATATTGACAAAAAAATTTATTAATATTTAATTATTATTTTATTTTTTTACCTATTTTATTATTTTTCAATTTTTAGTATAAAATCGTCATTTATTGGTAATTAAAATTTTTTATTTGCGAATGGAAAAAATATATTGATTTTCTTTTTTTTTATTCAAAGGGACCACCTTTTAGCTACAAGTACGGTTTCTCATTTTTACTCTACGTTAGTGGATTCGTCACAACGGAAGTAGCTGGAACATCTGCTATATTTCTATACATTTCCTGGCATCAGCGAGAGCTCGTGAATGACAACTCGAGGCGTAAAAATTACGCGGTTAGTAAAATAAAAAGCCACCGAGGATTTTTTTTCCTTTTTTTTAATAATGAAAGAAAAAAAAGTTTCTTTTTCAATACAAAATTTTTTTAGAAAAACATTTTTTTAATAAATATTTTTTTAATAAACAATTGTTTTGATAAACAATTGTATTTAATTAAAAGAATAATTTCTGTATGACAAAAGATACAAGTTTAAAATATACACTGAAAAAAAAAATTTATTTGGTTCAAATACTCGATTACTTGACTCAAATAAATATTTATTTGTATCAAATAATTATTTGAGACAATTAAATGGTATTTGTTTCAAATACAGAAATTATTGGTTCTAAATACAATTTATTTAATTCAAATAAAAATTATTTGGTTCAAGTAAATATTTATTTAATAATAGTCAAGCAATTGAGTATTTGTGTCAAATAAATTTTTTTTTTCAGTGTATTCTTTTAAATATAGAAAAAAGTTGAAACAAAAATTTGATAAATCGATTAAAAATGTTTCGCTTTTATTTTTAGGGAGTTTATCATTTGGATAATCATCTTCAACATGGAAATTATCATAATCATGGACACACTGGATTTTTGTGTGAGAGACATCAAAAAAGGTATTTTTTTGGAAAAGATTCAGTGGATCAAGTTGATTTTGATGAATTTCTTCCACCACCACCAAGTGTTGATTATCATGAATACAGCAGAAATCTTCCTCGTGATCTTACAACACAAACGGTAAATACTTAATTAATAATAATTGATATAATTATTATTTCATTATGAAATACAATAAATTTTATTTTTTAAATAATTTTATTAATTATTGGCAAAAAAATAAAATAATGCAATTAATTAATTAATTAAACTGTCAATCACTGTGTTTTGTGTCATTATAGAGATTCAAGTGTCTCACTCAATTATTTTCAGGTCAGTACGACCGCAGATGTATTACAAGAGGAATATAGTCCAAGTGTTCATCATGAATTTGTAACATTCTCCCTCGAAGAACCTCTTCCGCCCATGCCAGTCAGATCGGAGTGGCCCCTTGACACTCTGAGAAGAACAACCCCCGTCTGATATAGTGTCAGGTAAAAGCCTTCAATTTATCTTCTTCATAATTCAAACCCTCTTTTTTCACATTTAATCCTCGCAACTTCAAATCTCCTTTCTCAATTATTCATATTATACATAATCAACTTTCAGAAAGAGGTAAAAAAAGGAAAAAAAAAATATTCTTTTTATTCATTCTCTTTTTTATCGAAATTTCCATTTTATTTATTTACTATAATACAGTAAAGAATCGTTAAAAAAAATTTTTATTTTTTAATCCAACAGAAATATTTTTTTTTAGAAAAATTCAATTGATTTTAAAACTCTCGGAGGGGAAAAATTTTTTTTTGGAAAATATAATAAATTTACAAAAATTACAGATACGCGAAGCTTATACAAGGCTTCGAGACAGACTCGAGCGACGAGCAAACTGAAGATGAAACTGAAATGCAGAACGAAGATAATTCAGCTCAACAGGAAAATTACGATTTTGATTCTGAAGAACGACAAAAACTCTGTGACCAGTGAATCAGTGTGACTAAAACTAAAAAATAGATTTCAAATCTAAGTGATTTAAAACTCGTATCGAGAAGAAAAAAAAAGACTGATTTTTTTAAAGAAAAAAAAATCTTTTAATAGAAATATCTATTATTTAAATATGAAAAAACAATTGGCCCATTAAAAAAAAGAGCCCGAAAGACTGAATCTGTTATTTGATACTAAAAAGTTATTTTTTAATAACTTCTGTTTTTCGTTTTTTTTTTTTTTTTTTGCTCACTTTTCTAAAGCAAAAAAAGAAAATAATAATAAAAATAAATTCAAAGTCCAATAATAAAATCTCGTTGGTTGGCCAAAGGCGAGTTCCGAAAATATTTTCAGATTAGCTCGATTTGCCAACATAAATAATACGAATATTCCAATTCGTTGGTCCACTTTATCAATGGCGAAAGTAAATCAAATTTTTAAATTACTTTTAGCTCAGAATTCAACTGAAAAAGTAATGTAGTATATATATAGTAAACATACGTTTACATGTTAAATGGAAATCAACAGTATTAAAAAATTGTTTATTAAAACTATTTCTCGTTTCAGGGAAAAAGTATTGCAACAATTAATAGTAATTTAGAATTTTTTTTTCAAAATAAATATATTATAATTTTATTAATTCCTCTTTTACATTTATCTTGAATTCATTTAGGTTTGTTTTCTCTATTTTGAATTTGAATAATAATTTATTTACTATTTATTACTTTTTCCAATAATAATTATTTATTTACCATTTTTTCCATTAATACTTTTTTTTCAATAATAATTAATCATTTATTATTTTTCAAAGATTAAAATCTTTGAATATGTTGCCAAAGACTTTAAAATGAAATTTGTAAATCAATTTTTTCAGAGTAATTATATATATATATAAATAAAATAAAGTGTAATTCACTTTTTTTATAAACGTAAGACTTGTTTAATACTGCCATGAAAATAAAAAAAAATACTCCTTTGTACATATATACACACACACAAATGAAAAATTGTCATACAAATTTTTCATAAACGGAAAAATAAAAATTGTACCTTGATATGATTTTCTTGATTCACTTTTCAATTTTTATTGTAATGAATGGAAATTGAAAAAACAAATTGATATTACAAAAATAGAGTTAAATTAAAATCCCAAATTTAATGAAAAAGAAAACTAAGAAGGAAGATTGTTTTAAAATAATATGAATAAAAAATTATTATATCAATTGGAATAATTTAAGATTTTTTATTTTTCGTTAAGTACTTATATAGAAATTCTTACAAAGTATTTCATGAAATAATTTATGTGAATTATCAAGTTATTATAAATAATTCATTTATAGTTTCTTATAATTCTTTTTTTTTCATCAGAGTCGTAAAAATAGTTAACAGCACAAATTGATAAATGAATATCAAAATGATTTAAACATTTTCAACACTTGCCGCTTTAAATTTAAAGCGAAGTTGTTTAAAATAAAATTGCAAATGTGCAATGAAAAATAAAATTTTTGTTTAAAAATTCAATATTAAAAATAAAAAAAAAATAGAAAAAATTTTATTTACTGAATTTAATTTTTTTTTAGATAATAAAATTTGAACAACCTGTGATAATGTGAAATTTGCGAGAATATTTTTTTGCAAATTGCTAAATAACATGTGAGGTAAAAAATATTTACTTCAGCTTAGTAATAATCGTAATATTTGAATAACGTCTAATAATTTTTTTTCTTTTGCGAAGGCTTATTAAGAATCACAATTTGTATGAATTTTTTTTCGGAAGTGAATGACTAGGAAATATTTTCTTATCGTTTATAACAATCCGAAAAAACGATGACTGGAAGGGACTAGTGATGACTAGAAATATACGTCGCAAAATTTTTAAGAGAAAGAGAGAGATAGAGATAGATACATTAAAATAGATAATATATCATCATGTTTTATGTATAAGGGATAAGAGAAATATTTTCGAGATTGATAAAAAGTATATCTATCATCTTACAATCTAGAAGAAGAATATGCTTCTAAAAAGATATTTTCGTGGCACTTTTTTCTCGCAGAAGAAAAAGGTAGCTGTGTCATTTTTTTTTTTTAGTTCTACGAGCAAAGTTGTTGGTTTTTGTTTAGAGAGAAAAAAAAACTAATGGCAGTTACAATTTCTTTATTTTTAAAAATTCGAAAACTAATAAAAAGAATTTTCAAATTAATTTTATTGTAAAATATTTTTTTTATGAATTTTACTCTAATATAAATATATTCTTAGTGAATTTTCGAGTTAATTTCATGGAAAAATAGATTTAGGATAAATTTTCTTTTTCTCGAAATACTTATTTTATGATAAAATATTTCCTCTATGAGGAAGTAAAATACATTTATCATAAATATATATTTGACAAAATATTGTCATATTAAAAAATAAAAATCCAACAACTTTACTTATTTTTCGAAGACGAAAGTGAGTATTTTGAAAAACCCAGGCTTAATTTTTTTTTTAAATCAAGCTTTTTCTGGTCCATTTGGTCTTTTTTCCTTTTCGCTGAGAGATAGTTAAATTTTTTAAATATGCATATAATATATGTTAAGAACATAATTATTATTATTATTATTATTTTATCGTCCTATGATAGTTGGTTCGTCAGCCATTGCTATTTCTTCAGTAGGCGCTTTATCTCTTTTTCGTTTTTTAGAAAAGAGCATAAAAGCACAACCCGACAGTAAATTAATTATAAAAACAAGCCACGCTAAAATCAAAGAGAAATCATATGATGTGGTTGAACCGTGGGGATGAATTTCTGGCATGAAATGTTTCTGAAACTCAATTGACGAGAGAAGCACTTGTATAACCACCATGACACAGGCACCTGTAAAAAAAAAAAGAAAAATTAATTTTTATTTCTTATATCCCCTCTGGCGATTATGAGAAAAAAAATTTAATTCCAAAAACAGAAAAGATTTTTTTTTAAAAAAGAAATTCTTATTGATTTGATTTATTTTTTATGAAAGAAATATTTTATAGAAATTTTAATCCAATTAAATTATTTTCCATATGAATTATTAATTATAATTATATACGACATTTTTCAATTAAAAAATTATTTTAAAAAATATTTTAATTGTGATAAAAATATAAAATACAAAATGTAATCTTGATAAAACGAATTAAAATTTAATTTTTCAATCTAATACGTATACGGTGACTATATATATAGATCGAGGTGTGATATTACATGAAACGCGTATTTTACCTGTAATAAAATGGATTCCGCCAGCTAATCGCTTGAACATGTAGCGTGGATTACGGAAGGTGTAGATGGAAAATCCGAAACCCATTATCATAATAAACATACTGATCACAGCAAATGAAACTTCCGTCCTCGAATAATCTATGCAGAGATTAAATTATTAATTAAAATTATATAATATCTATACATATATTATTATTTTTTATTTTATTATTTTTTTATCAATATTTTATTATTATATTATATTCTAATATTATAATAATATATAATATAATAATATAATAGTAAAATAATAATAATAAAAATAGTATAAGTATTATTATTGTTATTTTAAATTTTTTGTTTAATTAATTTCTTTTTTAAATTATAATTAAAATTAGAGTATTTTAAAAATTAATTTTCTTTTGAAAATACACACTTGTTGAATTTTGATATATTGTAAGCAACAAATAACAAACTATCTTCTTTAATAGACTATAAAGATTTTGGTAGTTGGACAGTGTACAAAATTTTGCACGTTGATCACTGACTTAATATATATATATATATACAGTATCAGTCGCTGACTTGTAAATTAATGAGCCCGAACGTGTAGGCCTTGTTCCAAAAATTTAATTACTCACCTGTATTATACAATTAAATGTTGCAATTGTCCGCAAATCTTTTGTTCTACATCCGAAAAAGTTGAAAAAAATTTACTTTTCAGTTTTAATTCTAATTTCAAAAAAAAAAAAATTTTCAAAAAACGTAATATTTATTTTAATATCAAATTTTTTTTCTATTTCAATTTTGATTTTTTATTTGTGAGACTAAAATTCAATTTTATTTTAATTTTCATGGTAATTATAATTTTTACCGTTTCTTTTCATATTTCTCTTTGTTTATATTATAAAACTTCATAATTAGTCAAATAAAAAGTAAAATTAAAAGAGAAAAATTAGATTACATATCAAGATTTTCATCTTAATCAACGTAACTTGCTTTCTTTTTCTTTTAACTTTTGCAATTCAATTATAAAGTTATAATTTTTTTGTTGTAAAATACTCACTTAGTACCGTGATATTCAGACCTGGATCTCTTCTTATTTCTCGTTCAGTTGGAAACATTTCTTGATGCTTGCACTCCCCTGAAAAAGCAGTTAATTTAAATTTCATTTATTTTACAATATTCCGCGAATGAAAAAGAGAAAGGAATTCATGACGACATTTTTCTATACTTGGAAATAAAGGAAAAATTTTTCCCTTACAGTAAATTTCAAACGAGGGGAAAAAAAAAGAAAGAGAAAAAGAATTGCATTGAAATATTAAAATGAAAATAATATGATAAACTTTAGACCCCCGAGAAAATAGATCCAAAAAGAAAAAATATTTTATAAATAATTTTCTATCAAACGTGACATAAAAAATTGATATAAATATTATATTTTTAATATTATTTATAATATAATAAAAAATAAAGGTAAACACTTTTTGTTGACCTGAAAAAAAAAATGTGTTGATCAAAACCGGAGACAACTGACCGCTCTCGTAATTTTTCGCAAAAGAATATTTACGGCCACCGCAAAACTTATAAAAGTAATGAAAACTTTAACCGTTCTCGCGCACATATACACTATGACGGGATTAGTTTTCGCTTCATGTTCTCGTCGAGTTGAAGATAAAAAAAAATTTTTTTTCATTATTCAATGGAGTCTCTGCAGGAAAATATGGCTTTATGTTATTCCATAAATTAAAAAAAAAAATTCTTCCGCCAGGCGTAGATAAAATTGTCTTCAATTAAATTTAACTTAGGAAATTACGAGGTATCTTAATTATATGACATACTTTCTCACCTCGTGAATAATATATTAAAAATTTTTCCAACCATATTTTTCTTCATATTAAAATTCTTTTTTCAATAATTATTTATACTTTATTTTTCAATTTTTATTATCACCATTTTTATTAATTATTTTTTTTTTTTATTTCGAAATATTTTTCTATAAAAAAAAAATTTGAATTAAAATATTATTTAGATATATATTTTAAATTATTTAAGAACAATTGTCATCAATTATGAAAAAAAAAATATATATAAAGCTGGAAATTTTGTGGTCAAAGAATACAAGAGACAGAAATAATAAAATTTTAACTTTTGCGAGTTAACTATATGTATAAATAATAGAGAGATTTTTCATCCCTTGTGGCGGAGTAAAAAAAAAATAATTGTTCGTTAGTTTCCACTAATCTGAGCTTAATTGGAGATTCAGTGGTGGCTGCTGTGCTTTAATTAAACCCACGCATTTTCCCCCCTCAATTTTCTGCATTCATTTTTATTATAGTTGAGCATTTTTTAAAAATTTCTTTTTTATTTAAATTTCTACTTGATGGTAATTTACATGTAATGCACGCGAGAAAATACGTGTATGTATATGTATATATATGTATAATAATACATGTGTGCAATATTACCCAGGCGTCAGTTTGCCAATGGAAGGCCTTTCTCTCACTCGGCACGTATATCTATCTGTCTTTCTCGTTTATTTCTGGACTGACATTTATTTTACACCAACCATTTCGACCCAAGCAAAAGCATACCGCCCCAGAGAGTCTGGTAAATTTCTAACAATTGAAAGTCACTAAGAGACGTCTAAGCATCGGGAGAAAAAAAAAGTCACAACTCAAGGCTCATATACACTCGTTCTTTATATGTCAAATTGAACATTATTTTATATAAAAACAATTTTTGAGACAAATAATACTGGATAATAAAATGAGAGTATAGTGGAAAAATATGAAATTTTATACATTTTTAAAAAATTTATTATTAAATATCTTATATTTTCAACTGAATAATTTTTATTTCTATATAATATACTCGTAACAATATGGCAAAAAAAATTTTTTTTTTAATTCTTACAAATGCCTGACGTATTTTTTTTTAAATTTCTATATTATTTTACCGTGATGTTTACAATAAAATGGATATTTTGAAAATTTGTATCCCTAAATACACCTTGAGGATAAAATCGATCTCAACGGATATAAAACTATTTATCTGACGTTCAAATGGTCGTTTACGTAAATGATGTTTAAACATTAGAGAAATGATGATTGATCGGATTTTCTTAGAATAAACTAATTTCATATTTCAAAGTGGAAATTCAATGAAAATCCAAATCCAAAGATAATTAAAAAAAAAAAATAATAATGAAATAATTATATATTATGATCATTAAAACTATATTAAATAGAGAAATATTTTTCTACGATTATAATTTTTATTTAAATGAGAAAAAAAAACTTACTTTTAGTATGCCATTCGACAAGAGTATTATTGAAGAGAATTTTGTATTTAATACAAGTTCTCCAAAGGCCAACATTTTTTTTTAAGAGTCGCCTATTTGGAAGTCCTCTGTCTTTCATTGGAAGTCCTTGATCATCGGGTGCTTCTACTGAAAACCAATGATCAGTTCCAATTGCCACTGCCCAAATGCAAATTGAAAGTCCAACAAGAATAGTACAAGCCAATAGAACTCGTCTCTCAAATACCACCTGAAATTTTCATCATTTACATTAAAAATATATTTTCCAAAAATTGTCAATTTTAATTATTTAATAAAAAAAAAATTTATTTTAATATTATTGTTATTTAAAGTGTAAAACTAAATTTGTTTTCCTCGAAGTTTGACCGCATAGTGAAAGAAATTAATTATAAATATATAGTACTATAAAGTCTTTTATGTTCTGGGGAAACTGTCAAACAGCAAAATTTTCATATATATGATAAGCTCTAAAATTTCGAAGTTTACTAACAGTTTATTTTAGCAATTTAGTTCAAAATAGATTATGTTTAGAATAATTTATTTTAGAATAGAATTGTTTCATGAATTGAAAAAAAAGTTATATTATTAAAGTTTGGAATAACAAATAATGAAGATTCAAAAATTTCTCTTTTTCAAAATTAATAATAATAAATAATAATATTTTATTTATTAATAGTTTCTATATTTTTTAAGAACTCTTTCAATTTCAAAGTTATTTTTTGCAAAATAAGAAAAAATTAATTTTTTTTTTTAAGATAAAATAAACAATTTTTTAGTGTTAATGAACTTTGACCAAGTTTTTGATTAAAGGTGAGATTATTCGACCCTAAATAATGATATTGAACGTAATATTTTCTTTATTATCGAGTGCCTGGAAGCTCTTCGATAATTATGTTATCGATAGTGGCGTTACTTTATACAACGAGGCTTTTGAGTGGTTGTAAAACTAATCGACAATCCATCAATATTTACACATATACATACAAACACATCTATCCATTGGCATATAAAAAGGTTATGGAATTTATAAAGGAGTGCATAGATGCAAAAATTATTAAATTTTCATACAATTCAATAAAACATAAATAATAAATTTAATACTTAATATATTAAATTTCCAATAATTCTTGTAATGGAATAAGTATTTTTTTAATATAAATGACAAAAAAAAATTTAGATAGATTTAAAAAATATTATTATTAATTATATATAATTAAGAATTTTTAATAAATTGAATTGTTCTCTATTATCTATAGTAATAACAATCAATTTTATCTCCTTCGAGGTTTCAATATCATATATTTTATTTTTAAGAAATATGAAAATTATTTTGTCGGAAAATCTAGATTAATGTCAGCACATCTATCTTTTTAGTTAAAAGTTTTATCTGTTTAGAATCCCCATGAGATAATTGAATAAATTTATCTTCAACATAAAACGGACACAAAATGTACAAATAATAATAAATTCTTGGTAATATTTCAAAAAAATAAGTAAATTACTAAAAAAAATTTTTTAATTATATTAATTAAAAATATAAAAATTGTAATTTTCAAAAAATAAAATCTTTTTCAGAATCAAAATTAAAGAATTTTAACTATTTAAAAATATAATATATGTTTTTGTTTTTGCTCTCGATGAAAAAAAAGGGTAAAATATCGAGTTTCTAAAAAAAAGATGCTTACTTGGTTGTAGAGTGCTTTCATTCGACTCGCCATTTTGTATACGATAAATTGTGAATTTTTTTTTTTATCACTGTGATAAAATATTTTTTTTTCTCCCCTTAATTCGACAAGTTTTTACGGATATGGCAGCTATTTTCTATACATATATGTCGATCAATATTATTTAATCCCTCTATTTGAGATTCAAGGACTAATGGGAGAGACACTTGTGAGCTATAAACAAATATTTTGCTTTTTTTTTTTATAAATATTGTTTCCTCTTAAGCAGCTTATTTCAAATGGCATCTAATCTACGTGTATCTATTATTTTCTCTCGCGCCGAAAAATCGGCGCGAATCAACAATAAATTTCTGAAGACTCTCGTCCAAAAATAATCGATTGATCTGCAGCCCATTTATAAACTTTCTCTTCATCAAATTTATATTGTTTTTTTTTTATATATAGAAAAAATATTCCACGTTTCTTTTCTTTTACTTTTTCTTTTTAAAGAAACAAACTTTTCATGATTATTTCTCCTCAACGTCCATCAAGTGCTCTTCAGGGATCTGAAATCATAAATGAAGAAGAATATCAATTAAGGGAATATTATTTTTAAAAAATATATTTTTAAATTATTTTTAAATTATTTAATAGAAAAAAAAAATTCAACTAAAAAAACGAAATTTTGAGTTTTCATCGTTGGATCAAATATAAAATATTTCTCGGAAACTTTTTGAATAAATTCATCCAATTCAAAAAGTTGTTTAATTCTCTGCGAAATGTAGTGGGTTACCAAAGAAGCTTTCTTAGCAAATTCAAATCCTGTATTAGTGAAGTTGACGGATTTCTCCCATGGTTCCTATATGAGATTATACAAATTCCTCGCTTATCTTGAGAAACTCCCTCAAGAACATGTTTTCACACATGTATATACATTTGGACATGAAATAGCGAACAAGGAAAATTTCTTCCTTTTTCCTCTCTTTCTGTATATATATATATAAATCATCCGGTATCTCGGATTTATTTCAAAAGGAAATAGAAAGCTTTTTTTCCAACTATAGAAAAGAAAATTGAGCTCCATAAGAATCTACTATGATGTCTTTGTCAAAAATTCCTGAACGGAAACAATGTCTAATCGATTTTTAAGAATTATATCGGTAATTGAAAAAAATCGGATATCCGGCACAGAAAAAAGTGAGTAAAACGAAATTCGTAAAATCCATTCCACAACTAAAAACAAAAAAAAAAAAGTCCTCTCTTTTGTGATTCGCTTGACAAAAGCTACTTTGAAAAGCTTTTCTTAATTAAATTTTACTTTTGTATAAACTTTGCAATTTATTTTGTAACTAATTACTGAAATTTTTTTTCCAAAAAAATAATTAATTAAAAATATTAAATTTATTCTAAAAATAAAAAAAATTCCTGTTGTCTTGAGTTTCTTTATCAATTTTTGACGATCATTCTAATTTATTATCGTCCTTGAGATTCTAATTAAATAATGAAACTTTTATCTGATTTAAATTGACCGATTTGATTTATATATTTATAAAATTGTTAATTTTTGTTCTAAATTATAAACGTTCTTGTATTTCAACGACTCGTTAGTAACTGTAAAGAGAGAAATGAGATAAGATCTTTTGAGAATTTATTTTTTGACCACTGTGATCGAGATTGGCAAGCAAGGCAAAGATGATGAGTTAAGCACTGTCATCTTTGACTGAAGTATGCTAAAGTAGACAAACAATGTGTCTCCTTGTCTTTCTTTGTGTGGCAAAGTATATTATAAAAGCGTATATACACACACAAAATCCCGGGTTTCTCTGGCTAAAATTCTTTAGCTATTTTATACTCACAAGTTGAAAATAAACGATTTTTATTACCGACAAAACTCTCTCACCCACACTTTGACTTAACTATGTAATATCAATTCTTCAACGCGATCATTAACCAACATTTCAGGAAGGAAACGCGTACGTAGCTTCGTAAAATTTATACTCAATATATTTAAACATCGAATTCTGAAGTGGATTTTCAATAATGATTTTTTTTTATTTATTATTACAAATTTAATTTATTGTAAAATTTTTACTTTTTGTTTTTTTTTATTTTTTATTTCAACATCGAATTCTGATAATAATTATAATAATTTTTTTCATTTATTATTATAAATTTTATTTAATTTATTGTAAAATAATATTTTTCACTGATTAAAAATATTTGTTTTTGTTTTTATTATTATTTTAAGCCTGGAAGCTTATTCATGACTATAAATAACTTTTTTTTTAAATTTTAAGACAAACCACTTGTGAAGTGAAAAAAATTTTATTTGATTCAGATAATCGATTACTATCAAGTAAATATTTACTTGAACCAAATAATTTTTATTTGAATTAAATAAACTGTATTTAAAACAATAATTAATTTGAAGCAATAGTTTCTTTACTTAAAACAAATACCATTCTATTTTGTCTCAAAAAATAATTATTTTAAAAAAATATTATTTTAAAAAAATATTATTATTTAATAAAAATTATTATTTAATACAAATAATAATTATTTAATGCAAATAAATATTTATTTGACAATAATCAACCGATTATTTGACTCAAATAAATTTTTTTTTCCACTGCAGGCTGTAAATTTAAATTATTAAAAAATAAGAATTTTTTTTATAAGAAAATTATAGTTAATAAAATAAACAAAAGTAGAGAAAAAATTCTTAAATAAAAAAATATTTCTCTCAAAAAAATTTTGTACATATTGAGCAATAAATTTTGTGTAGAACTCGGCCAAGAACAATGAGCCGTTAAATAATATTCAGCTATGACAAGTCTGATATATTTATTTTTCACTTCTCATCATAATAATGTCAATCATAATTCTTTTGACGTGGGTTTCAAAAATGATACAGCGGTAATTTTGTGTGCAATTTGAATTTTTGGACGATATATGTATTATCATTATATATGATGACCACACACTATTGTTAAAATAGAAACGCAAGACGATGTTATTGTCTGTATTGGATCATTGCTAATGTAATTTAGTACAATAGGTTGTGATCCTTGACCACAAATTGACTCTTTAAAGTTTGCCAAATATTTTTTTTTTAGCTAAAAAAAAAAAAATTTCAACAAAAATAAAATCAAAGGTAAAATTTATAAAAAATTTTCAATTAACGTGAAAAAATTCAACAATTATGGGAACCAAAAATAAAGCAAAATTCTCATTTCCTTCCTTTTTGTGTTTCTCTGAAAAAATAATATTTTTATTTTAAAAAAAAACTAAATCTGAAAAATATTTTTAAATGAAAATCTTTTTTCCTTAATGGAAAATTTCTCATTGAACTGATATTTAATCGCTTTCATAGAGAAAGAAAACATTTGTCAGAAATAGTTATGATTTAAATGAAAATCAATATAGCCCACGTATTTATTTTCTTTAATATATTTTTATATTATAAAAAATAATAGAACACTTTTATAAATACTTTATTTTTAAATCAATTAGTCTCGATTGCTTCATCCTGATGATGATCTTTCATTTCAAATAAAGCGTGTATATTTTTTTTTTATTTCACGTCAACGACTTTTATAAATAGCAATAATAATTGACAATAAAAGTTAATATAAATTTAAAATAAAAAAAAGCCATTAACTTTTAAGTATAAAAATCCATTATATTTTTAGTATAAAATTTTACAAAAAAAATATTTTTTTTCAAAAAATAATTTTGATTTTTATACCAGAAATGTTTTTGTACTTTTTATATTTTTTTCAAAATAATTTTTATTTGTTGTTTTTATTTTACCATTTATTTTTATATTATGATTAAGGATTGTGAATAATAAATATAATATTTATTTAAAAAAAAAATAATAAATTGAAAATGAATCACTTGCAACATTTAATCAGTAAAGTGCCGATAAAAAAAAGAAATTTGCAAGATTGTACAGTTTGATTTGAGAATATATTTAGCAAAAAAATATTGATTCGAAGCTATTATAGTCTCTGAATTGAAATGTATTGTGTTGTGATATTGTTTCTATACAGTTTCTGGTTATAAAGCAGATAAATTGTATATAATTTCATTTCCCTTCAATCTGTTTGCAATATGAATGTTATAAACCTGACTAGTACCTATTATACATCGAATTTCACGTTCGGTTTATTACAGAAATAATTTTTTCATTTTTTTCACAATTTTAATTTTTAAATTTTCAAATTGTCATATACAAATAATGGAAAAAAAATGTTTATCAATAAATTATTTTTCTTAAAAATATAAGCGCCATTATTTATTTTTCCGGTACAGCAATTAACTTCACAAGTCAATTAATAAGAATAGTATATAAAAAGAGAGGAAATGCCCGCATTTCAAATCCCTTGAAACTTTTATCTTTTCCGTTCAATGTACACAAGCAAATTAAAACTTTTTAAATGCTCTTTTTACCCTCGGACTGCTGTGTCTGTTCAAATATTTTCCTTTTTCCACCCCTCAAATAGAGCACACTGTGTTTATTGCCAGTTGATCAAAATAAATTAATTAACTTTAATCAAATAATAATATTTTTTTAATATTACATCAATATTTTTCAAATTATTATATCAAAAAATAATATTTAAAAAAATAATAATAATTTTTCGAAAATTTTGAATGAAATTAATTTTGAATTATTTCAATTGTAATTATAATTTTGTCAATATATAATAAATACATAATTATTTGTTGAATATAAGAAACTATAAATACAATTTGATGGGGAATTAACTATTATAACTTTTGCCATGAAACTATAATCGTAAATGTTTGAAATTATTTGTGGTAAAACATTAATGGGTACATTGCAACAGTTTTCATTGCATCTAAATTAAGCTTAAGCCTTGTATAATTTACCAATCTACATATATTTCTTGTGAAAATTTTGTAATCCTTCAAACCAGAAAATCAATTCACTAAATTGAACTATTATTGTAGATGGAATTTAATCCTTTTCAATCAAGATTTTCAATAATAATTTTAGAACAAAAGACGATTATAAACGTCAGAAAAACTGCAATTATATTTTATTACAATAATTCACTATTATTATATAATATTAATTTTAAAAAAATAAATTAATAATTATTAAATTATAATAAATAAATAAATAAATGAATAAATAATAATAATAATAATAATAAATAGGTAAAATAAGAAATAATCTCGAAATCTTATCAACTTATTTTAAATCACACTAAGAAGTGCGAATTCTGTAACCGAAGTATTTTCATCTCAGCGTAACGATTACGTGTTAAGATATTTTTGTTCAGTTCAATGTCTCCTAATTAAATAATTATTAAAGTAATATTAATTTAAAATATTCATATTATTTATTAATTAGCCAAGAGGAATTATTATTTTTTCCTCTATAAAATTAATTGAGAAAATTAATTATAATTCTAATTATAATTTCTAATCTTCTACTATATAATTAATTATAATTTATTTGTCTATAAACAAATAATTATTGAAAATAAAAATGTCTAGAAAAAAATTTTTTAATTCGAAATCATAAATTTGATACTCTCGAACGAAATAAATATTAAAAAACAAAATTGTCTATTGAAGAAATAAATTATAATTTCCGCGTATATAATGTTTAATCGAGTATTGCGGGATGTCGAGATAATTTTCTTTATGAACATCATAGAAAATGAAAGACGCAAATATATTGAAGAGACGAGAAAAGCCAACATAGTTTGAAATTTATGAACGAAGTTAAACGATGTACGTCAATTTCCTTTTCATCTATCTATCTATCTGTCTATATTCCTCGAACACACAACTATTTTCACAGCAATTCAATGTGCTTTTTAACGAGAATTTCATCCGTTTTAGAATTGCGTTCTAAATCAAAATCTTCAATTTTTTTTTTTGTATCAACAAAAAAAAAAGAAAGCTTTATTTGAAATCTAGTCTCAGCTCACGTTTCATAGGAGAGAACCTTGGGCCCCCTCTTTTTTTTCCCAAGATCAATTTACGAGGGGATTCATATCCATTCAATAGCAATTTTCCTTTATGATATGTTTCACACATCTATTATAAATGGGTTTATTTTCACCATTTTAAAATAGAGAAGAAAAAACTAATATTTGAATATATAACCATTTTTTGCCCACGCATGTAAAATTCGTATTTTTTCAAAAGAGAAATAAAAAAAAATTGATGTTAAAACTCAATTGTCGAGATATCCAATTTTCCCTATAAAAAATATCTATCGAAAAGTTTGTGAAACTCATTTATTTATTGTCTGGTAAAATTTCAATTTTATTGGAAAATTAATTATATTCTTCAATTTATATGAAAATTTTATGACACTTTTTTTCTATATTGGAAAAATTGTTGTTTTTTTTTTATTTAAAATTTTGTAATTAATTTTCTTTTAATTAACATTTTATAAATATATCGATTTCTTGTCAAATTTGCAAAAAAAAAAAATGTCTCACAAAATAAAGAGTTTTGTAAAATTTTACAAAAAAAAAAGAAAAAGAAATAAATCAAATAAAACAATAATTTATGAAATATTTAGATTTTCAAAAAAAGAATATAAAAATATTTTATATGATTGTTCCATTTAATCTGATACATTGTATAAAATGTATAACACATTAATAAGAAAACTATAGTTTATGCATATTTAAAAAAACTTATAGTCAATTGAAAAGAAACTTATTTTTTTCTAATAACCAAGTTTGAGAGTAATGTGAGTCAAGGATTTTTATACTATCAAGTTATTCTATTTAAATTGAAAGGGAAGCTAAATTAGCAAAATTTACCTTTATTTCTAAATTTGATTATTTCAGGAATTTCAACCATGTTCGATAATCTAAAGCCAATACAGATGTTTTTATTCAAATGCCAAACTGATATTTGCATTTAGGCCACTTTAGTATATCATAGAATATAATCGCAGGCTATTTTTAAATATATCGAAATATTTGTCTGTAACAGAAAAAAAATAATTCATTGATCAATTAAAATTTTCCCCATTTTAATAACAAATTTTTTTTTTAATTTAGGAAAATTTTATTTAGATTCAGAAGAATGTTTTTGTATGGAGAAATTGAAAAAAAGATATTTCTTAATTTTTTTTTTTTGCAATTTTCTGAAATACCATAACTTAAGAAGAATATTATATTCCAAACAGCTCGCGATTCTGAGGCATTTTCAATATAATAATAATTGAGTGCATTCCCAGATCCTTGAGTACGTGCTAGTTTTATGAAATATATATATCGTAATGAGAGAAATTTCTAGAGTCGCAATAGCTTTAATAATAAGGGAAGATCATCATCTTTTTCGATGACTGCATACAAATTCTAAAAATCCTTTCAAATTTTTATATTCACCGAAAAAAGATATCTCAATACTAAAAAATAAATAAATAATAAAATACTAATAAAATAAAACTAATTATAAATTGAAAATGGTAAAAAAAATTAAGAGTAAAGAATAATAAAAAAAAAATGATTTTAAAATAAAAATAATTACAATCTTACAAATCCATATATGATTAATAAGTTCTTTATCGATTTTATAGAAAATATAATTTTTCTCTGTGTTGTATTTTTCAATTTCGTTTTATATCAGGATTACTTTATTTAAGTCTGTAATCCAACTTTTAAGACGCTTTCTACGTTAACACTCGTAAAGTCTTTTAAATTGCCCTTCTACTACAACGGAAGTTTACTATATTTGTTCGGCTTAACAAGATTCTTTGCTCTATTTTCCTTATTTTCTAATTGCTTTTTCCACTACATTTATAAATGTTACGAATATAAATATTGAAAGTAATTTTCAATTGTAATTTATTTTTTTTCTTTCACTTTTCCAATAATAGAGAAAATTAAACTTTTCAATTATAATTTTTTTCCTACACTACTTCAATGAAGTGTATATCTTTTATGTTTAATTAATTCATTAAAAGGAATATTTATCTAGAGAAATTCTTAAAGAGCCTCTTTTTAAGCAATTAGATAATTAAGAGTCATTAATCCAAGAACATTATTATAAATGGCACAAACCCGAAAGAAAATTAATTAAAATGACTCATGTTTGCTTCTCCTCTTTATTCAAATTTCAAATAAAATCTTTTTTAGTTAAAAGAGAAAATAATTTTTTTTTCTTGCTATTATGTTTGTTTAATAAAACATTTTTTTTTAATTTTTCCCTTTTATAAAAGAATATTGATTTGTTGTTTACTTAAATTACATATTCTTTGTATAATAATAACGCAAGGGGTTTATCATATTTTATACAGTACATAAGCATAATTAATATCGTTACTTGTTGAATTTTGGCAAATATTATCATTGAAAGCAACAACATGTTTACACATTGTAGATAGTATGATCTTAATAATAAACAAAATAATAATGTAAATAGCTAAAAAAAATAGAAACAATTTTTTAATAATAGAAAAAAATTAATACTTTTACTGAAAAAAAATTAATATTAGAAAAAATAAGATTTTTTCGAAAATTCTATATCGATTATAAATTATTATACTCTATAATATTATTTATATTATTAAAAAAATTTATTTTTGTAGAAAAATATATTTTAAATTAAGTCCCATAACACATTAAATTTTCGTTCATTCTAATTTCGAAAATTATTTGCCAAAAAAATGTCTACATTTTTGAAATAATAATTGGAATTTTTAATGAAAATTTTATTAAATTACCTTTAAGTTGCCTAACTGACCTCTGCTAAAAAGTTCAAACGAATGCATTTTCTCTCTGGTTTTCCCTAACGAAATTAAAAAAAAAATTTTAAAGAAATAAAATTGTTAACTCAAATCTATTAGACAAATATAGATATAACACGGTTCGTTATTTTAGGCTGAAAATTTTGGAGTTCACAATCTCGTCAAAACTATATACACACAGACACGAGGAAGAAGAGAGAGAGAGATACTATAAAGCGTGTATATTTCTGGAGAAAGATCACGGTCGGTTATTTTATCACGTGCATTGCCAGTGAAAAAAAAATTTTTTCTTTTGAATTACAATTAACTCAAAATTGATCAGAAAAAAGGAAAGAAAGAAAAAGTTTCTTCAAACTTGTTTCAAACTATTTGAAACCAATAGTATATATACTGACAACAAAAGGCAAAAGTGAATCTGAGCGCGCGCTTTGCTCGAGATTCAGTCGTTTACTGAGAGGGAGTTTCCGCGGAAAAGAAAGAGAGAGAAAGACGGGCAACATAGTTGTGGGTGGGGGCAATTTGTGTAAGCGAGACAGACCAACGAGAGGGGTCATTGCATGCCAAATCGATCCATCTGTGTGTCGAAACAAGGCTGTATAGAGCATTTTGAAAAAAAATATTAAAAAAAAATTTTTTTTTAATATTTTAAAAAATATTTATCCAAAATATTTAAAAAAAAAAAAAAAAAAAAAAAACTTCTTTAAAAGGGTTGATGGCATAGCAATTTTCTAAAAAAAATATTTTTCAATTATTTAAACTATAATTATTATAAAAATTGTTTCGATTTTATTTTTTAAAAACCTTTTTTTTTTAAACTAAATATTTTCTAAAAATAAATAATTATTACGTTTTTATAACGTTATGAAAAAATGAGTAATATCTAAATCTTGCGGTTCGAGACAACTTTTTCTTTTTGGAGATTATGTCTAGATGTGCGCGCGGGAAAGAATAAATGCTCCCTCGAGGATGTTAAATGATGGTTTCAAATATCGATTTGGCTCCAAAGGTCAAAGAAGCAATTCGGTAAAAAAGATATACAAAAAAAAACATAGCTACGCACACTTTAGATTCCCCTCAGTATAAACTCGTTTGTCTTGTCCAAAAACCTATATCAGAAATTCTTTAAGACACAAGAAAGTTCTTTCTTTCTTTTTTGCTTTATCTGTCGTTTCTTTATTTTTACGTTTTTTTTTTTTGCTACTCTTTATAGCTTTTATGATTCTATAAAAGCTTCTCCTTCTTTCTCTCTCTCTCTCTTTCTCTATGTTCCAGATATGTGGTGTGTTACACATGGTAACACAATCTATAAGATTGTGACTTCACAAAATTTATAGGTGTCTTTTTCCTGGGCAATCAACCCTGTGCGTACTTCCGGTCGTTGACCCGAACGATCCGGCGCTAAGGAAACTAGATTGGCTTATAGTTGTGTATATATAGAGAACATACTGTATATACATCATCTTATTCATGTATTTTCAGAGTGAAAATTCCTGCAAACAACCAAGATTAATTATTATCTTTATTTCTTTTTCTATGTGGGTATTAAAAACAAGTAATGACAGCTCAATATTCATTAATATTATGTCAATGTCATTTTTCAATTATAATATATACGCGATATTTTATGTGAATTATTATTTTTCTTCAATATTATTATTATTTCATTTCAAAAAGCAATCCATATTCATTAATTTCATGTCAATGTTATATATATGCAATAAATTACTATTTCCATTCTTTCAAATTAATTCTATTTTTAATGATAAAACATCGCAAAATTGAACCATCAATTTATAATCTGCAAAATATTGCGATGACACAATTTTTTATCAATTGTCAATATTTTTGAACTAGAGTTTTATTAAATTTTCAAGTAGAGAAAAAGAATAAAAAAGAAAAACATTTTATGATAACGATATTTGAAAATATTGAATTAATAATAATTATTATTAAATTATTATTATTATTAAAAAATACTATTCTTAAACGTATGTAAAAAAAGTTAAAAAAAATGACAAAACAAAGTTGTGTGCAATTTTGAGGTTATTGATACTTCAAAAATAACAACAATTGCAATATATATAATATATTAAATTTCTTACTAAATTTTCAACTTTCTTAACTAAATTAATTAATAAAATTTTAAAATGACAATATTAAGTACTCACCAAATACAAAAACAAAGATCTTGAATGCAAAATACAATTTGTAACCAAAAAATTTAGTTTACTAAAACTTTTTTTTTACTTCTTTATACTTTTTTTATCCTTCTCATAATTGCAATCACATGCTTTTATTACTTTCACTTAATTATATTTTTTCATGCTTCATAGCATATAGGATTAAATATAACAATACTCTTCTCTAATTAAGAAAACAAATATGTTTTGACAGTTTCGAACTTTAAACTAACCTAACGCAATGTTTAAAAAATTTGAAAAAGCAGCTTACCCTGCCATCTGTCGGCAATGTGGGGGAACTATTCTTACACTTTCATTCACAAGGTAACTTGACCGTAGTTTATTGAAATTACTCAATGGCGCTAGTTTCGATGCAATGTTGCCACATAAGCACTGTATTTTTAATTCTTTTTCATGAAATCGACTATTTTTATAATAGTAAACATATTAAAACATCATTTTTGAATATTTAATTAACAATAAAATTATTTAGAAATCAATTATTTAAGCGATTTCAATAATCCTAGTTTAGTGCGTTGTGGAATTTGCGAGGAGCAGCTACTGTGTTACGCAGCTCTGCATGATGCCGAACAAAAAATTAATGCATAACTCCAATAAATTTATGCCTATACAATTAGCAAAGTACTCTGAGCTAACTTTTAACTTATACTGTCATTTTGACTAAAGGATTTATCATTTTTCTGAAAATTTATCTCAATTTCACATTTTTACATAGTAGCAGTTACATTTGGCAACAAGGCAAACCTTTTCCCGTTGGCTGCTCAGTCACTTCCTAGTCAAAAGATTTTCTTCAATTACAAACAAAAAATAAATTTATTTCACTGAAAAAAATTGCAAGTTTTATCATAAATTCCATAAAGTTTGACACAAGTCTATTTTTCTTCGACAATTTTTTTGTTGTTAAAAGTTTTATCGTGAGTGTTATTTTTCTAATGGAAATTATATACCTGGCAACAGGCTAGTGAGCGTCATATTAGAGATTATTGTGGAATCTATGTTATAAAAATTTATTTCATCCCTTTGGGCATCTTAAAATATCATTTCATTGAAAGGAGAAAGTATATTTTTCAATATTGTGAGAAAAAAAAGAGTGTCTTCAACGGAATTTAATTATTGCATCAAGAGAAGGAGAATCTGATTGTCTTGCATACAACTGTGTTAATGAATATAAAAACCATGGATAAGAATTGGATTCATAAAATGACATATTCCACTGACATAGAGGTATTTATTGTAATATTATTTAAATGCTTGATAATTTATTAATAGTAGAGGGAAATTATTGTTATTGGAAAAATTAAATTACGATAGGGGATGTATTTTTTCTAAGAAACATGAAGATTAAATTATGGATAATGTAATTATTGACATTTACATCTTTTTCTTTTATAAAAAATTTATTAAATTTTTATGAAAAACTGGTTTTGAAATTATAGGTTATAAGTAAATATGATCAGTAATTAGAGATAATTGTTTATGACACTTGTTGCTCCGAAATGGGAATCGTTACGAAAACGTTTGTTTATAGAAAAAATTAAACTCATTTGCAAAATTGATCCCTTTTATTCGTTTTTACATAGATCTTAATGCTATGATAATTTAATGAATTATTTTAAAATTTATTTTTTACGTATTTTTACAATGTGCTTGACATTTAGAAAATTGGAAAAGTTTATTTTTTAATTGAAAAAGTATTAATAGTTTTTAATTTGTAATTAAGTTTGTAATTTTAATAGTTAGTATTTTTCTTTTAGGTGGGTAGCTGAAATTTGTGAGAAAAAGAATTGATAAATCGAAATAATTGTTTTTTTAAAATTAAAAATGGACAAAATGATAAGGGAATGATTATTCTGTTAATGAATCGCTGATGGTAGTTGGACGATTAAGTGAAACGATGGAGGAACCTGCGAAGAAAAAGCAACGTATCAACAATGAAGAAGAGGAAGATGATGCAATTACTGAAATTGAGAGGTTTCAAACAAGTTTACTCGCACAATGTTTGTGCAATATTCCCGAGAGTAGTTTACGTAAACCATTCACTGGAACGACTGTCGAGACGGCAAATGGTGAATATCGAACAACATTGCTCTCTGATTGGGAACCGGACAAAACACTTGAATTTATAAGTGCCTTACAATTATTGTTTGACGTTGCAATTAAACAGAGTACAAAACACATAATGTGTAGTCGTATTGCCGATGTTTGTGAGGCATTGGCACGTAATGAACATGGAATCATTGATCAAATAATCGATCTCTCTGGTACGTCGAATAAATTTATTTCATTTGCCGCGAGTCGTGCATTGGCATCATTTTTTATTGTCACAAAGGAGAATATTGAAGCTTCATGGCTTGATAGATTGACACAATCATTGTTAAATACACATTCACCGAGTCAAATGCTTTTTACATTGGACGTGGTGAAGAGGGTAGTTGAACACAGGGATGATAGACGACATCCTGTTGAGGATGCTGAAAATCCTGGTGTTCCTTTACATTGTAATATTGTACAACTTGATCCCGAATCGGAGGATTCAACAGCAGTGAAAGCAATGTGTGTGAAGGCATTGGAAACCAAATGGATTATTCTTGTATCGAAATTTGATACAATACTTGGCTCGTATACACCACAACATGAACCGGCGGTGATTATTTTCCTTGAACTTTGGGAATCAATTATATCAGTAAAGGCAAATCTCTCGGTGATTGATACAAAAATGTTCTTCTCACAATTGGATAATATGGTGATGCATTTGAATGTTAATGTTCCGGGTGTGATTTGGCGACATCTTCTTGGATTGTTCAATGAAGTTCTCTGTTATGGAAGTACCCTATCGCTGCAGGATATTCTACCTGATGAACCATGCTCATTGGCACATTTAATTGTTCGTGCAGTGAAAGATTGGAGACTTTTGGATGCTTTACCCTATCGTCAAGGATCGGGACGATTTGGTGGTGGTTCTGGCGATGGTGATCGGCCTCTATTGCAAAAAATTGTTCTACTTGTGCTGAAGAGTGTTGCTGTCACAGTTAAAGAGACACGAAGTGATTCAAGTGACTCGTCATTGGGTTCAGAAGCTGAGGATATTGATGCAGATATGGCGGTGATTGAGAGAAGTATACGCGAAGTATTGAGACAATTGGATCATTGTGTGAAGACGCTGTTGCCATTTCATCCGGAAATGCCATTATCGCAATGGGTCGTTCAGGTATTTAACGATCAAGATGATTTTCTCATTGAGGGAATGGTCTGTTGTTTGGATGTGGCTGTTGGATTATTTTATCGTGGTCCACCGCAAAATGATTTGGGACCAATGCTGAGACCAACTTTGACATTTATGCAATTTGTACGAGCAATATCGTATGATCCATCGGTATTAGTTGATTTATTAGTTGGTACGGAGACATGTTTTTTGCTTTATCTTCTTAGGTTTTTGAAATATATTAAGAGAAATTGGTCCGAATTTGTATCATGTTGCGGCGATGAATTGGACAATACAATGACAGTGCTTATTAGATTGAGATTAACGGTCGATAGGCTTGTTTCGAAAACACTTTTTCAATATAATATCAGTCCAATACTTCGTTTATTAGAAAAATGCGAATCACTTTACGAGGGGAATGTGGACAATTAATTTTGTCAAGACATTGCTTTATTCAAGGAATTCTCTGAGTTTCCTTTTTTTAAAAAAAAAAACTTCGTACGGGTAATATTTGAAAGTAAATGTCCCTTGAGATCAAAAATTTTCTTTATAATTACAAAATTTTAATTTAAAAATATATTGAACGCAAAATAAAATGCGTTATAATTTTTTAAATTAATATCTATTCAAAAAAAAATATAAAATTTAAATATTTGTAAATTTATAAAATTTGAATATTAGAAAAAAAATGCATCTCAAGGAACAAAGCTTTCAGAAAAATAATGTCAAAATTACAAACTAGAAATTTTGTATATAATTTATATTTCTTGTAAAGAACTATAGCCAAACGCTCAGCACTCGATAAACGTATAAATAATTGAATTTCAATTTAACGAAAATTAGATAATTTTTAATAATCAAGAGAAGTCATTGAGTCAAACTTGATAAATGCAAAGAGTGCAATAGATTTTAATTAATAAGATGATTGATTTCCCAGTGAATACGTTAGTAAATTTTTCAAAATGATTATTATAAGAAGAAAAAAAGATATGGGAACAATTAATATGAAAATTTGATATTATTTTTAAAGAAATTCCATATATAAAACTTAAAACTTTTCCTAACTTTTAATTGACATTTTTTTATTTTGTACATATACATTTTATGTTATTTAATTTACAAACTTGAATTATGATCAGAAAGATTTTTTTAAACTGCGAATATATAAATAATAGTGCCGATAAAAGAAATTCTCATAAACTTTCTACTCAATAGAAATAATATGCTCTCTGATTTTAGAAATCAATAATTTTTTCAATTGTTTGAAATATTATTTTAAAAATTATTTATTTTTCAACAAACTTTTCGTTTTTTTAGTTTAAATAATTTTTTAATAAAATTGAGATCAAAATCTCAATTTTAACGAAATTAGGATCAAAATTTCGATAAAAATATAATTAAGATTAAAATCTTAATTTTAATGAAATGAAAACTTTTTTTAAATGTAAAAAAACGCACAAATTAAGAATATTTTTTCTTATAAATAAGCGTGGGAAAGCATAATAGGTATTTATTATTATTTTTTTTTTTTTGAAAATATATTATATATTTCAGTCCATTTATATATTAACTGGTTATTAACTCTGTGCCTTGGTGCTTAATGTAAATCTTTGAAAGATATTAAAAATTTAGTGTTAAGTAGTACAAAGGATTAGTTAAACGAATTAAAACATTAAAATATCGGTGCTAACAATTTTTGAAAGTTAATTGTTAATTAAAAGCACCGTTGAGAAAAAAAATATATAAATAATAATTAGAATAATTTTTAGGTCGTTAATTAAAGTAACATAAAAATAATTCAATTCCAGCGTTATGTTAATATATACATATTATATATATATAAATAAATTATCGAATCGTATCATTAATATAGCGAAAATCTTTTTATTAAAGTCATTTTGAGACTTTAATCGATAAACTTCAGTTTGCGAGTTAATTAAACTTATTATTATTATTATTATTATTAGTAGTAGAAATAAACTGCCAAACATGTTTAAATTATTTATCGACGTTAGTAGTAAATTCTACTATAAATATATATTATTTCTATTTTTCTTATAATATTATGTTAATATTATTATAATATTAATTAATATTATAATTATAACTCTTAACATGAAATTTTTTCAAAAAAATTTTTTTCTCCTAAGCGACGAATAAAAAAAATGTTTATTTATATATATTAAATGCTAACTTATGTAATAAAAGCATAATCTTCCAGCATAAAATGCTGTAACTTCTTATTTTCTTCCATTAAGAGAAACGAAAAGAAAATACTAACAAAACAAAATATCGTTGACCTGTATATTATTATTATTATTAATTTATAGTGTACATATTTCTCGTCCGAATTTATCATTTGGTGTTTTTTTTTACACTTCATCGCATAATTATTTAAAACTGTTTAGTTTTTATTTCTACAAAGACAAAAGAAATGTCACTTTAAATTCTAAATGATTTAAATTATTTATATTAATAAAAACAAAATACTTCTATTCAGAATTTTGTCAAGTAATTGAAATTGAAAAGAAAGTTTTAATTTTTTTTAATTTTGGAATTTAATTAACATCTGAGAAATATTTGTTCAAAATGCGCTATATTGTAAATAAATATACAAATTGTTCATTAAATAGTTATAGTCAAAATACTTGTGTAAGTGTAAACCTTGTAATGCACTAATGTTAAAATATTTGTACTTTTTTGTAGAAATTTGCGTTTCACTGAGTATATTACCTTAAAACCCAAACTTTAGTTTTCTATATTAAAAACAAAATTTATTTAAAAAATAATTTACATCAAATGAATTTAATAATTAATTTTTCTATATACTTTTAATTAAATCTTTTTCTATTATTATATAAACTAATTCAAGTAAACAGTAGAAATTTATCTTTTGATTAGTGTTTTATTTCATGTTACAATATTGAACTTAAATTTTATCCAAATATTTAAATCTGTGTTGTAACTTACGAATTAAATTTATCTTCGTCTTTTTTTTACTTTTATATGCACTTTTTACGAATAATGTATTTACATAAATGTCGAATTATTTGAATATTCAAAAAAAGTGCTTTTTCAAGAAAAAATATAATTAATTAAATGACATATACAAAAAATTAAAGCTAATTTTTTTTGCGAACTATTTTAATTACAAACTTAAAAAGTTGAAAAAAATTTTATATGCCACAATTGATATTACAAATATATATGCATCAGTCATGATACGAATCTAAACTAAAGAATAAATTATAATTTATGTATATATCTATATAAATACGTTCTACAATAAATTGTCAATTTAAATGTAGAACTAAATCAAAAACAAATCGTGAATATGATGATTATAAATTGTATGTTAAAGTAAAATTCATGATTTGACATCAAATATTTAAACATTATTCAATCACTCAAACTTGACTTATTAAGAATACTGACTAAAATGTCAGACTTAAATAGAGCAATATGGACACAATATTTTTTCTTTCTTTCTTTTTTTTTATATCTAACTAAGAATTAGATTGTTTAAATAAAAAAAATCTTACTACGTATCGTAATCTTCATCAATGTTGGCAGTGTGACTGAAATTTGGTATTGCCTGATTAGTATCGCTTAATTTTGATGGATTTGCAACCAAATTCATTGGTTTTAGTTCCGTATAAAAATTTGGTTGAGGAACGCCAAATGATGCTGGTGTTGTTATTTGAAATTCCGGGACAATTGACATATCTGTCAAATGACTTGAATTTCCCAATCCTTTAAAATCCTTGGACATTCGACATGAGGATGTATTGTAATTTTTCTCCAATTGAAATCTATTTTTGAAAAACAAAAAAATTTTCAGAATAATAAATCTAATTTAATTTTTTTACAGTATTATAAATAAACAATAAATACTCGGTGTCGGGGGTTTTCACTAAAGATGGACATCCCATGTTTCCTGAATTAGCACCAACTGGGGCGGGTGTCAATGGTGGAGTTGGAGCGTCTTCATCAAGACCCGATACATCCGGAAGACCTTTTACTAAATCCTTTAGAAAATCAAAACGATTTTCCGATAAAATACATTGTTTCCTAAAAAAAAAAAATTGTTGAATTTTTTTACCTGTGTAGAACAAAAAGGTTATAAATAATTTAATACTCACATATGAGATGGACTCAATGTTTTAGCATTTTTGGAATTTGTGACTTGCATTGTTTTCGTTAACAACGAATGTACAAATAATTCTAGCGTCCTAGGTATATAATTAATTAAGGATACATATAAAAGTACATTTTCATTAAATAAAAAAAAATATATAAATATTGACATAAACAATAAACCTATTGTTGAAATTCTAAGCAATCCAAATATTATGTCACGATACAACCTCAACAATTGGCATTTTGATATACAATTTTACGTAATCAATATAAATATTTCTAAATTAATTAGTATAAAAAGGATATAAATTATAATCGGTACTGCTTGAGCAACTTTTCCTACTTCTTCGTCAGTTTGCATAATTTTCTTTATTCGTCCCTATAAAAAAAAGTGAGGTTATGTGAAAAATTAATGTTATTTAATAAACACTTTTTCTCATCCATGAAATTTCACCAATGATTACAATTAATTTACATTTATAATTAATTAAATATTTAAAAAGTTTACATTATTTTATAATGAAACTGTACATTAAATAAATATGTTTAACTTACTGCTGGAAATCGAGCGTTGTATTTTTTCCGTTTACTAGGCATTTTGACACTGCAATTTGTTTACACTTAATTCTATAATTATAAATCGTTAATCAAACAGTAAAAACAAAGTTACATTTGAAACGATATATCTTGATTTATGTACTTTATTATCCAAAAAATGTTATTGGGACATCATCAATGAATCAATCAACACATTATCAGATATACTCGTATGAAGTTAGCAGAACAACCATAATGCATATTAAACAATTAAGAGATAACTTCATGACAGTAAAATATATAATAAAAACAATTATTACAGAAAAATTAATTGCAACTAATGAGAATATTATAAAAAAAATTATAATTTATAGTATTTTTTAAAAAAAACTTTCAAATTTAGTAAAAAAATTTATTATATTATCATTAATTTTCAATTAGAACGCAATTTATTCGTTTTTAACATTCGATAATTATAGAATGTAATAAAAATATATATTCTTATATTAATATATAAATAAATATAATAATATTTCAATAAGTAAACAATTTTCAAAAATATCCGCCAAAAAATCTCATTGGTTGACAAGTAATGATGCGCAAATGCGCTCCAATTATTTATTTTCTAACCTAAAAATTTGGATGATGTCAAAAACAGACAAGATTGTTATATATTTTAATTGTAAAGCATCTGTGATTACAAATACTATTAATAGTTATATTATTTAAAATTTTACACAAAAGTTTAATGAAGTTCTATAATAAAAAAAATGGATTCTGTGTCAAAAATAAATGTTCACGAAAAGATATTAGGTTTAATCAACAAAATAAAACATGGGTAAATATGGATTATTTAAATAGATTATATTCTAATTAAAATGGTTTAATTAATTTTTAAATTTACCGTTAAATTTTTAATTATTTCAGTGAAATTGAAGGCACTTATGAAATTGTTGTAGCCACTGTTTCAACATTAAAAGAAGTGATAAACAATACAGAATGGAAAACTGCACAGTGAGTTGAGATAAAAATTTGTTAATTTGTCATTAAAAATAATTATATTAATTTTTAACAGATCTGTTATGGATTTAGTAAAATTAAATGGAAAACATCTAATTAATGGAGTACCACTAGAAACATGTATTGGAAATATGATTCGACGTATATTACATATAATAAGAGAGGAATATTCTGCTGAATTAAAAAATAAGACAGAAGAAACTGATCCTCAAGAATCACTTCATAAAATTATTACTTCAAAAAATGAACATGATATTGATTTCAATATTTCTGTGCCGTTTCTTAAAGAAGCTCTCGTAGAACATATTAATGAATTTGAAGTTGAATTAGAAACATGGTAAAAAAAAAAATTGTTTTCATAATTTTCCTACATTTTTGAGAAATATATTTACATAATTTTTTTCAGTTATGAAAATATTACGCAACAAGCTTCGGAGCACATTCACTCTAGTGAAATTATATTGACAATTGGTCGATCAAGACTAGTAGAAGAATTTTTTAAGAAAGCTGCTAAAACCAGAACATTTGAAGTAATTGTTGCTGAAGGTGGTTCTGATTTAAACGTAAGAATTAATTTACCATTTTTTTGTTAATAATTCACAATTTTTATTTTACAAATAAATTGATTTTTCATTTCAGGGTCATCAAATGGCAGTGAACCTCGCGAAAGTAAACATTAAAACGACATTAATTTCAGATGCGGCAATTTTTGCAATGATGTCGCGTGTTAATAAAGTTATTGTAGCAACACATACAGTTATGTTGAATGGTGGACTTAAAGCAACATCAGGAACATATACAGTTGCACAAGCTGCAAAACATTATTACGTACCAGTTATGGTTCTTTTACCACTTTATAAACTTTCACCTGAATATTTGTGTCTATATGAGCAAGAAGGATTCAATAAATACCTTTCTCCTAGTCAAGGTGTTATTCCCATTGATAATATTCAACTTATGGATAAAATTCGCGCCTATAATCCTGCCATTGATTATGTACCTCCTGAACTTGTCACATTATTTATTTCAAATACGTACGTATAATTAGAATTTTAAATTATGCAGATAAATATTAATTAATGTATTTAAAATAACTGAAATTTTTAATTTTAGCGGTGGAAATGCTCCCTCGTATATCTACAGATTACTCAGCGAATTATATCATCCGGATGACTATGAACTATGACGATCACTTAAAGATTTTATTGAATCAAATTTTTGAGAATATTTATCTGTACATTAAAAATGCTCATTAGCATTTTGTATTAAGTTTTTATAAATAAAGTCTCGAAAATTTAATTCATTTTGCAGAAATTTCTTTTAAACTTTTTAAATAATGAAAAAAAAAATTAACAAAATATTTTAAGAAAAAGAAGGCTCATATAAGAGAAAAACATGAATTATCCATTTCTTTTCTACGTTTATTTATTTAAATATATACAATTTTAATTTTAGAAAGCAACATAAAATTCTTCAACGAGAAATTAAGAATGAATCATAACAATGTTAATATTGCTTCAATAATCAGTCTTGAATTATAATAATTGATATTAGTTATTTAATATTCAATTAAATGATATAATTGCACTCATACGATTTTTTATATACATGTAAAAAAATTATTTACAATTATTTATTAATTCTCATACGTAAGGATTCCAATTGCTTCCATCTTCGGGAAGTAATGAATTTGTTACTATTAAAATAACATCGACAATCCACCATATTCCTAAACCACCTAATGTTAATAATTTACCTACAGCAGTACCAGTTTGTCCAAGACAAAACCGATCCATACCAAGAAATCCTAAAAGTATACTATACAATAAAGTTGTTGTAAAATAATGTCCACTGTATTTTATGCAAGGTACACCCTCACGATAAAAATGTCTGCTGCCATAACATTCAATATCTGGCAAAACGGTGCAGGATACTTTTGTTTTTTCCACATCTTCCCAACGTGCACCACCAAACTGAAATTTCAATCATAATAATAGTAAATTATTTGTTTTTACAATAAATTTTCAGTTTTCTCCGCTAATTTTCGTGTGACAATGCATTTTATTATTTTTGAGGTTAAGTGCACTTAAATTCGGAAAATAAACTACAAATTTTAAAAAAAGGTATTTAATATTACAAAAAAATATTTACCTTTACACAGCCAAGACCAGTTTCTTCTTTTGCTGTTTTATTTCCCTTAAGATCTATTGGTTCCTCACAATCAATAAATTCTCTTGGTCTAAAAAATGTATTATTAAATTTAAAACTTTATAATTTTATTATTAATATTGTATATTCAATATAAAAAAATACATTTAAACAATATAGTTGAATCATAATCAACAAACTTCGAATTTATTAACAAAAAAAAATTGCGAATGTTGGATTTTGACAGTTCGTTATAGGTTATAAAATTATTAATACTTACAAAAATTTGCATAAAACTAAAGGTCCTTCCGGTCTATATTCTTGTTGAATTTCTGGTGTTTTATTTGCAGCAGAAAGTATTAAGGATTCCGCAAAATTAGAGTAAAAATATACCCAAACTGTCAATATGTAGACTAACCTCATTGTAGTTAATTCATTAAATTCATTATTAATCCACTATTGAATGGGTGTTCTAAGAATCCTAAGGAATGTGTAGTAAGTGTGTGTACGTTTTATTGTTATTATTTCCAAGAAAAAAAATTCTAAGCCAATCACATTCCACTATTATTCTTCAAATCACCAATCATTGTTTAAGATAGTATTATGAATCAATTAACATTGTTGCCACTATACTAACCTATAAATAAAATTACGATTATTTTAAAATTGATTAAAAAAAAAATATTTAAATAAAATATCTAATAAATAAATTATTAAATATTATTTAAAAACTTTTCACGTCTATTTATAAACAATTTAATTAAATATTAAATGTTTTTTTTAAATATGATGGTTTGAAAGTTTTATTTTCAATGTTGGTATTCCTGCGCATAGTGGTTTTCTGGGAAATGTTGGAATTTTCAGAGCGCTTTTGTATTGTCGTCTGTCCTGTTGTCGAGAGTGGAGCTAAGAAATGTTTTAAGACAAGTGAAATCGAAAGTTTTTTTTATATTATTTGTGGAAAAAGGTGCAAAAAAAAGTTGGCTTGTGGAATCAAAGAAGATTCCTCATTTTTTTAACCTTATTTGTTTTTAAAAGAAAAAGTTTGCATACATGTTTGGAAATATGAGGGAAAGGGAGGACTTTCCTCGTAATTTTCCACCATATCAACCGATTCCAGGGTGTTCACCGAGGGCCTTAGGCCTAGACGCCTTACACAGTTTTTGTAAAGAAATTTATCCTAACCAAGGAAATCCTCTCACTGTGACAGCTATTGTTAAATACTGGTGAGTACTATACACACAAAGGACCTTTCATTTCTATCTCAGTACTTAACCTATTGTTAATTATTTCTTAAAGCATCTTTTTCTTTTTATAAATTTCCCTTTTCTATTGTTATATTTTTGACATTTGCAACAAGTATTCTCTTGAGTCTTAATAAATTATAGAGGAATTTAAATATTTTTTTAAAAATAATTATACATTGTGATTTTAATTATTGTTAATAGTGAATTTATACTTTTGTTTACATTATTTTTAAATCAAAGCTTTCTTTTAGTATTTGTTTATTTAGATCTTTTAATTTTTTTTATGATTATACATTTATATATTTTTATTTGTTATTTATTGGTTTTATTTTCTTTTATTCATTATATTTTACATTTATTTCGTTAATTGTATTTAATTTGCTCATTTACTAATTATTGTTTATTTTATATTGTAGGTTTTTGTATTTTTATTAATAATTTGATTAATTTATAACTTATAAGTTGGACAGAAAAAAAATATTAAATTAATTTACCCTTGTTATCAAAAATTAATTTTGCAAGTTACTGTGGAGATGAAAAATTAATTTATTAGAGTAATTAAATAAAATGCGTTGATATAGGAGAATGTTTATATTTAGATGGTTGTGAATCTAAATTTTGCTGGCTGTTAAAATGAAAAATGAAATTTTTATTATTTTTATTATCAGGCTGGGTGGTCCAGACCCTCTTGACTACATCAGCATGTACGAGAATCCTGGTTGTCCAGAAATTGGAGTTCCACCTCATTGGCATTATGTTAGGTAAGATTTATTTATTTTTATTCTCATCGCAATTTACAATTAATAATATTTATCTTGAATTTCAAAATCTTGTGAAAAAAGAACCAAATTACGTTCATCTGAAATTTTCGAAATTACAATTCAGTGCAACTGTTCTATATCTTTCAACGATCTGTCAACCCAACATAAATTATAGTTTCACTTTCAACTCCGCCCTATTCTCAGAATATTCTGTTTAATGAAATCAAAACTCCTTTCTATTAAAAGGATTTATAAAATTTTTTTATTATTTTACTTTTTTTTAAATTTACTTATTTAGATAAAAATTTACTGGAAAATCTGAATTGAAAATTAATTTTTAATCAAAGAATTTTTAGTTCATTTGTGGTTTATATTTATTTATTTAATATTAAGAATGTCATGGAAATAAAATGTCAAGGGGATTATAGTTAAAGTGGGGGGAAGACAGGAAGTGAGGAATTTCCTCAAGGTTCTTCATACTGAAAGTTGTTTTTCAGAATTTTGTCATTTGTGCACGTGCCAACACACATGGTGTATATTAAATAAGAAATAAATATAAGTAAATTACAAAAAAAAACATGAATATTTAGTAACAGTGAAATAATTTTTACTCTATTCTATTCTCTTTTTTGATTTAACTGAAATTAAATTCCAGGTTTATTTTAAATTATTCTTCATGTTAAGATGTCAATTTTGAACATTTTCCAGAAGAATTTTGTCGCGTGCCATTGACATCAACTTTTTTTTTTGTTTTTTTGTGGGGAGAAAAAAACCAATTTTTTTTGGTCTTAACTTTTCAAGAAAAACAGCTGTCGTAATAGATTGTTTTATATATAGAGTGTGTGTAGGGTGCAGAGGAATAATTCTGTTAAAGAGGGTGCACCGGCGGAAATAGATCTCAGTACTTCCCCTTTCTTATATAGTTGAAGTCTCTTCCTTCTTTTCAATTTTTTTTTCAACTCTCCAAAGTCTGCGCCATGTATGCATTTATTTATATAACGTCATTGATGGAACGTCTAGACGATGAATATACTTCATGAATCACTCTTTCTCCCGGGTCATTGAAAGATTTTTTAATTTTATTCTTTATCGAAAAATTTATTTCGCTATAGTTGATGAGAATTTTAATTTAATTTTTTTTTTATTTGTCTAAAATTAAAATTTAAAAATTATTTTTTCTTTCACAGTTTTGGTTTATCGGATCTTCATGGTGATGGGAGATTACATCCAAAATCGGGTCCAGGTCGTCCAAGTGGATTTGGTTTTGAATTGACTTTTCGATTAGTGCGAGAACGAGGTGAAACGACACCACCAACATGGCCTGCGAATGTAATGCAACAATTAGCAAAATACGTTTTTAATTCTAGTAATATGTTATTGCCAGGCGATCATGTTTCTTGGCATGCAGCACTTGATAATGGAAATGGTCGTATTACACAAATTTTAATGGGTAAAGATCCCCAGTTACCTTCGTCAGCCGCCACTCCTTATGGAGAAGTAAGTTTAATTCTAATTAAAAATTAATTTTTAAATATAGTAAATTCATTTACTAAAAAACAATTTTTTTAAATATAAATATATTTTTTAAAATATATAAATCTAAATTGGTTGAATTTCAATTATTTTAAGAAATTCCATGAATTTTATGATAAAAAATTTGTTTTCCTACTTTAGGTCTCATTTGTGCAAATTATCGGCGTGACATCCGAAGAATTGCAGGCAGCACAACATTGGAATGGACTGGGTGTCGTTAATCTTTTAAAAGCTTCAAGTGGATGCGGACCTTGGCTCTTGACTGATATGAGAAGAATTCACTCGATAATGGACGAGGATCCATCGGCAGCGGTTAAAATTCAAAATGGCATCGAGAGAGAAGGATCAAATCTCAGTGGCGTATCAGCGAAATGTTGGTGAGTTTAAAAATAGAATTTCACGTCTTTGGTAAATTTTTCGATTGTTATAAATTGTTACTAATAACAAATTAAATACAGTTTAACGAATAAAATTATTTTTCATTCATTTCATAAAAATAAATTAATACTAATAATCAAATGAATTAAATTATAATTTTCTAAATCATTCAGGTGGGTGCAAATGTCCGGTGATAAGAGCAGGGAAAGATATCGAGAAATAAGAGAAGATTCTGATGATGATAACGATGATGAAGATATAAAGCCAATTGTAAAAGCTGAGAGATTATCACCCTCGGAATCGGATGGACACACAACAGAAGAAAATGGTGTCAAAATACTTCCTGGTCTTCATTTAACATTTAATTTGGAGGCTGGAAGTTTATTACCATTAGCAATAAAGTAATTTTATTTGTAAAATTAATTTTATTGAAAAAAAATGCTTTAACTTAGAATATTCCGTTTTTAAAACATTTTTTTTTTGTTATATTAAAAAAATAATTTTCTTTTGCAGAGGACGTGTAATGCATGGTCGACATTTCACATTTAAATCAATTTTATCGCACGCTGCCGTTACAATTGTTGCACCTTCTGTTACGGGAACATTAGTTACAAAAGAAAAACCTTACGTGGTCCAGGGACCTTGGTTACAAGTTTTGTTGCCCGAAAATTTGGCTGAAAGAATGTCATACGAATTCCAAATTTTAAATGTGCCTTCGCAAGTTAGTTTTTTTACATTGAAAAAATTCTTTTATATTTTTTATTATTTTATAAAGAAATTTATTTTTATTATTTTAATAATGAATACAAAATTACATTATTAATTAATTATAATTGTTGACAGGTACAGCTACCAAAAACGTTTTCTTGGCCGGAACATAATCTTGCCATAACAATAGTTAACGATTAAATGTCTACGATTGCTATTCATCGATCATTCATCATTTGAAAAAAATTCTACGTAAGTTTTTTTTCGTAACTTTCTCTTTTTAAGTGACTGAATCTTCGATTATTTAACAGTTTTACCAGAATGACCATTATATAGATAAATCGAGAAAAAAAAACTAATTCGAAATCATAAATTTCGAATTACTAGATAGTTAATTTCATAATACAAACAGAGTGAGTTTAATTCATCTTCGTGCAGCTATGTTAGTTTTTTTCATGTTAATATCATATCAAACAATTTAGTTAACTTATTATTGATTGCAATCAATTAGAACAACTAACAGTAAGATAATTCGCATAAGTTTAACTTCGTTACGAATCAATTTTTCCATTTTTTATTAGTATTTTTTTTTTTTAATTATTTTATTGATGAAAATTCGAGAAATTTTTAAAACGAAACTTTGATTCGTAATCGAAGTTAATTATTTAATTCTGTAAATAGTTATTAATAGATCAAAAAGCAAACTACGTATTTATATTTTATATAGTTATATATATTATAAGTCTTTACACTTTGTTATAAATAAATGAATGAAAGTTTTAAATAATTTTCAAGTATTTTTTTGATTTAGTGGAAAAAAAGAAAGAAAAATTGTTATTTTAAAAGTTGAAAAAAAACTCAATAGTGAAAATAAGATAAAATCTTTATTGCAAAACAGTTTCAACAACAGACACAGAGACAATAACAAATCTTCGTTGGCCGCACGTTTGTTTTTTATTTCGTTGTGCTGAAAACAATGAAATGAAAAATTAAAAAAAAATTCTTTATTTTTAAAAAACATTTTATTATCAATTTATTTAAATTAAAAATTTTGTTATTCAGTTTTTATTTAGTTTATTTAGGTTAATAGGGAAATTAATGATTTCTCGGATGATCTTTTACCTGTGATATATATATATCATCAAGAAGGTGAATTGAAACGTCTTCGACCTCGTCTTCGAGTCAAACCTCTACGTTTCGTTGCTCGTCTTGGTGCACAACATTCCTCTAATTTCATACATCCTGCGGCGCACTCCATTGAGTCAGATTTAGCAAATGGATTGAACAAGGAAAAGCCAGAATTCTGAAAAATCGGTATGACATTGAAACTATGATTAGTATATATTATAATTAACGACAATACTCAATTAGTATTGACAACGAGCGATTGAGAGCGTTACCGGAATACTTTTTTTTTCTTCTACAATTTTTTTGTTCTTTTACTATAAAAATACATAAGTGTAAAATTTGAGGGGGAAAAAATTTTATTTAAAAAAAAAACGTAAGTGTGAATTTTCACAATATTTAAATTAGAAAAATTTGTGCCTTTGTGTTCAAGAAAAGTGTCTGTGTTTCATTCTAGTGGAATATTTTATATATTGTGACAATATTCGCTGAGTTGCATTTTATACAATGAATGTCAAATTTTCCCAAAAAGGTATGAAAATCTAAAATTGATTTTTAATAATTTACAATTTTTTTTATTGTGAATTTTTCTAATCAAATATATTAATTACATTCATTGAGTAATGAAAAAGTAAACAAACTTGAAATCAAACGATTTGTTTTGATAAAATTTTTCGTTTATTTCATAACTTAACGGGGCAAGTGGTGAATTTTATTTTTCAATATTAAAAATTATATAAGTATTTAAAAATTGTTTGATTAATTTTTATAATTAAATAATTAATTATTTTATTTGTAATAATTTTTTTAAAACATTTTAATTTGTCGATGTTTTAGTATTTTAAAAATTTTTTTTTAATAATTTTCAAAAATTTGACTACATTGTTTTTAAAATTGTATGAAATTTTCTCATATTATATACAAGAACCAGATAACTCGATGGAATGTTTTGAACGTTATGAGAGCATTCCAGTAATGAATGGATCGTGTGTGAGTTACCTGGTTTTTGTGTCAGATTTTTCTTTTTGGGATGAAGCAATTACAGACTCGAGAATATCATGAGCGTGAGATGATTACGAGGAGGAACGCTTTTATAAAACTCTGAAACCCTTTTCTTTCTCTCTCTTCGCTCGAGGTCGCTAGAAAATCAGGATTCGTTTATAACGATAATTTTATACATGGTGTAAAAAACCCTTTAAAAATTTTTTAAATTTTTTTCATACTTTTCAGATTAAAGGAAATTAACAAAAAAACATTGGGGAAAAATTAAAAATTATGATTCTGAATTTCTAGCGACTAAAAATAAAAAATGTTCATCTTTATAAAATAATTATCATACCTGATTTAAAATGCTGATAACAACTTTAATAGCTCCCAACCATAATAAAACGACGATGCATGCCGAGGCAAAATCCTCAACATCGTCACATGTAATACTACCAATGACATTTACAATTCCTTGAAAGACATTGGCAAATGTTTGCATCGCCTCAATGCATAAATCGCGAAGAAAACAAATCACCTGAAATAGGAGATTCATCAGGACTATTATTAGTTCCAATGTTCTTGTAAGGAACTCGAGAAAGATGTCCACAAGTAATTCAATTGTGTCCCAAAACCAGCTCACAATGCCCATAAGAAAATCCAAAAATTGATCAAAAACGTTGTATATACTGGGACCCCGCATTTTTTGTGTGTTTTTTTTATTTTTATTAAAAATTTAATAATAAAAATTCGATAAACGTTGATTGAGAATAATTTGGAAACATTGTAAAATGACAGATCTAATGGTCTGAATATCGAAGAACAGAAAACAAATGATTCTTTAATTCCACCTTCATGATGAAGATTCTTTTAATTTTAATTCTATAATTTTATTGTGGAAAAAATATGTCATACCTTAGGGAAAATAATTTTTCGTGCAAAGAGAAAATATATTTTTCTCACTTATTTTTTTTTTTAAAATCACTTTTAATTTTTTTTTTTTTGACTGTCAGTATTTTTTTAACTAAATATTGCAAATTAAAATGAAGGAAAATATTCTTTTCGTTGACTATTTGACAATTTGAAAATTTGTTAATTATGGGAAATTTGATTTTTTTTTCATATTCAATTTAAAAGTCCATTTGTGACAACGATTTACTTGAGAGTTTTGTTTTACACTGTTATTTTGGATTAAATTGCTTTGAAGTTAGCAGTGAAAAAATTCGTGAAACATGGGTTAGAATAAATAATTTGAATACAGTATAATTTTATTTAATTAGCAAAAAATTGTGTATAACAACGTAAATTTTAACAATATCTATATTATCTATTATATCTATATCTTATCTATTATAATATATAATTATTAGTTAAAATTTAACATTATTAACAAAACAAAATTGTTTTTTAATATTATCTATAATAACATGATTTTTTATAACAATAAACTTTAAAAAGTTTTTCAAAAATATATATAAGTAAAAATAAAAGACATAAAATTTTTGTTTCGTTGTAAAAATGAACACATTGTGAAAATACTTTGAAAATACTTTCTAATTTTCAACTTTGGATATTGAATGTCCAAAATTGAAAATAAATGAATCACAGTATGATTTATAATTAAAAAATTGGTGTTCGTTATTTTAATAAAGTTTCTAAATGACTAGAAAGAGAATTTAATTTTAGAAATATTTCAAAGTTAAATAGGATATTATGAGAAGAATTGTAGGCTTCAAATTTCGAGTAGATAAATTACAAGCGTCAGCATCACTACACGATTGAACACATCCTTTAACGTATCTGGAAAAAAATTCCATTTCATAATTAACAGAGAATTTTAATTTAAAAAAAAAGAAATAATAATCGGACTCACCTATTTTCGAAATAAAATCCTCCACAGTGAGACATTCGTATTAATTCGGAATCTGTTGTTAATGTACCACTATCTAAAGCGCAACTTCTAATTGTTAATGACACTCCAGAATCGTCTGAAATATTAATTAATTAAATATTAATGAATATATTATATTAATTATAATATTAATTAAGAAAATTAAATTTTTAATCATTTTAAATAATTTTATATATTTTTAGCTATTAATTTGTTAAAAATACAATTAAAAAGAGCGGAAATATTTTTTATAATTATTTAAAAAAATATTTTTGTAAAAAAAATTGATTTTACTTACAGTAAATTCCTGCTATTTTTACACAAGCGGTTGCAGGAAAAAGACCATCTCTATTTTTACGACCCCCTAAACAAGGAGACTCTAGAAACTCCAAACTTCCATTGTTATGAAATGGGTCATCACAGGGTTTGTTATCTCCACCAATTGAAACACATTTGAAGCAATCCAAAGTTTTGCCTGAAATTTAATTGAAAATCAATTTCCAAATAGTTCAGCAAATTTACTTAAAATTTAATAATAATAATAATAATAATAATAATAATAATAATAATAATATAGTTATTATATTATTTATTTATTATTAATAACAATTTTTATTTTTTTTATTTTTGAATTTTAAATTTTAATCCATTTAGTAATATTATTCTTGAAACTCACCTTCTTGAGGAATTTCAAAAAGAATTAGAATAAAAATACTCAGACAGTGTTTACAATTAAAATTCCTCATTTTTTTCCTTTTTTTTAAATTAAATATTTGATGAGGAAGAATTTGCGTGTTTTTTTTAATCACTATTGTAGTATACACAATTTAAAAATTGACGTATATTTTTTATTGTAAAATAGATGAAGATTGTTTCTGGGAAAAATGGACATTTTGAATGGTAACGAGAAGCATCGAACAAGCAAAGTGGAGCTACTCGATGTCAGGATGTTGTGATTACAAGTAACCAAGGGAACTATACATGATAAAAGTATACCTAACAATAATATATATGTATTGACGCAAAGTGCAGAGTTCAAAGTACATGCAACAAAGTGATTTTCACAAGTTAAACAATATTAAAAAGAAAATTTTTTTAAAAATATAATTAATTATTTATCTCAATGTAATTATATAATGATTACAAAATTTCAAAATTTAAATATAATTACATTTTTTTAATTTGTTTAATTAATTAATTAATTAATGATAAATAAAGCGTTTTAATAATTATTTAATTTATTAAATTCTTGTTACGAAAAATATTTATTTAATAATAATTAATTCATTCTTTCTAGAGTAAAATTAAATTCCAAATATTAAAATTAAAAAAAATTTCAATTTTTAAATTTATTTTTTTGTTAATTTCTTTTGTTATTTTTTTTGAAAAAGATTTTTTTCCATCGAAACACCCGTTAGATGAGGATTAGGATCGCGTGATTCTCTTTTCATTTAAAAAAAAAAAATAATAATAAAAAGCGAAACTCCTCTTGCATACTAATATATCACGCAAAGATAATTTTCATGTACATTACTTTTGAGCATTATGGAATTACATTGATGAAAATGTGCTTTCTCCGAATACGACATTATAGAAATTAAAAAATAATTTTCTCGGTTTCGACAAAATTTATTTCACAATTTTATTAATTTTACTTTTATTTATTATTAGTTTGCTTTTTTATTATCATTTTTATTAATTACTATTATTATACTCTGTAATTTATAACTCTTATTTGATTTAATGAAGTTAAATTATTTATCTATTTATTTTGGAAAAAAATATATTTTTGAAATCAATGTTGGAGCGAAAGAATTTGAATTAAAGCGCCACGCGCATGCGCAATTAATTGTAGCCAATCATCTCGTTGGCAGCAGCCGTACACACATCTTTGCTGTCGCAAACGCACACATCAGAGAAAACACTGCGTTTTAATGTGATATGTGTTTGACAAAAATGTCTCGATTTTCAATTAATTTACGTTTATTGTTATTGTTTGCGTGAAAGCACGTTCATCGCGTGTTATTCGCGTTCCTGACATTTTCTAATTTGACAATGGGCCAATCCTCCAGCAAGAGCAGTACCGGTCAGAGCGGTGAGTAAAAAAAATTCTTTTACTTTTTCACTTTTGCTAAAATAAATGTTGCGCATAGCGACAATAATGACAGATTATTCATTTGACATGTGTAAATTAATATTTATTTTTTATCTATATTTCTTTCTGTACGTCCCTAAAATTTGACCTCATTTTATTTATGCTTTGAATATTTCCTTACACGTCCCCTCTCTCCCCACCATTCATCTATTGATTACATGAAGGTTCATTGATGATTTTTGTTGATGACACGTTTAGAGGTTAGGTTATATTTTTTGCAGACATGATATTTTGTTTTTTTTCTTCTTTTTTTATTGTAAAATTCATTCGTCTTAGTTGAATTTTTACTTCTTTGCTATAATTTTGCGAAATTGATGCAGTTTTTAGGTTATGCTATTCAATTGTCATTTTATAGAATAGTGAGATTTGAAAATAAAAGAAAATTGATGGGAATTTTCCAAGTTGATAATTTTGTATACTTGGTTGTACAAATTAGTTGAGAGATTGCAAAAGATTTGTTTCATAAGAAATTATCTCTGTTTTTTTTTAGATTTCTCGTAATGAAGGTGTAGATGAGTCTTTAGGGAAATTTTTTTTCTATAGGAGACATTGATCTTGAAATGTAAATAAAAGGATTGACACCTGTTACTTCTACTTGTTCTTCTTTACTCTTTTTTCGTTCTCTATCTCTTATTCCAGATTAATTAGGGATTTTCTATTCAGTCCTCTCAGAACATCTGTATAGTAATGTAGTTAATTAAATGGTAACAATTTGTCAGAATTTCGATAAAATATTCGATTATGTAATATATATGTATTCGTATTGTTTACATATTTATTTTTAATTCAAAATATTAAATAACTGATTTTATTATTCTTGTAAGTTAGTGGAAAATTCTTGTTTTATTTACATAATTTATATATTTATATTTAATTTTTTTATTAATTCATAATTAACATAATTTTATTACTTTCGTGAAAGTATTTTAATTAAATTATTTATTTATTTTTATTATTATTATTATTATTAATGCTTCGATACGGTATTTTAATTTATTTTTATTATAAATTTATTTTTAATTAAATTCTCGATAAAATAGAAATGTAGTTTTTTTTAAATATAAATAATTTAATGTGGAGAAAATTATGAATGACTATTAAAAGATGTTACCGTCAAATAATTGTATTTTTTAGATATTTCACGCTGAATTTGATTATCTAATCAGTTAGTATTTTTTATTTTCTTTGTGTAGAAAATAATTATCACATCACATAAAGAATTAATATCTTACAGTTTTCTGTTTTACCTAAGGCCTGAACTAAAGTAAATTAGCCGGAACGACCTCTTCTGAGTTTTATTGGTAAAATATGAAGAACAGTTTTGTTGGTAATAAGTTTTTTGTTTTAGAAAAACTTTATTTGTTCGAAGGCAAAATTATAAATTTATTATTTTTAAATTAATTTATATTTTTATTATTTTATATATATAAATTATAATTTTCTTGTATCTCTTTATAATTTGAATTATTGAAAAGTACACTAATTAAAATTACTAAGAATTTCCACTAATTTTTAATGTAATATGCATTACAATTTGAATTAAAATTTATATTTTTTAAATTAAAATTGTAGTGAAAAAAATAATTGAAATTCAGTATAAATTTTTACCTATTTTAATTAGTTGACGCGACTTTTTACTACGTAATTCAAATTTAAAGAGAAAATATATTATGAATATTATTTTATTATTAAATAATTAAAAATTACTATTTTTTAAAAATATTTAATAAATGAAATTTCAAAATTAAATTTTATTTTTGATAAACGAGAGAAATGAAATAATTTTTTAGTTTGTCATTAAAAAAAAAAAAAAAACTAACTGATAATTTTCGATAATAATAATATTAATAATAATAATTGTATTTTTACTTGAATTATTTTATTTCATAAATGCGCCAAATTTGGCTTCGCTATTTTGAAAAGAATTATTCAAAAGTAAAAAAAAAATGCACTTTGGATATACGTGCTCAGAATAAAAATTTTTGCCAACATGTGTTGAGTTTCTTTTTTTTTTTTTCATAAAATTTAACGACTTGGAATTTTGTTGAAATTATTGTGTGTACAGATGAAATTGCCGCATGTGCTGAACACGTGTAGAGAGTGTTAAAAGATTTGCGACTTTACCTGACACCTTTGTTCTGTTATATGTATAGTAAATACTCTATTGCTGATTATCCTCTTGGCTTTTGGCAAAATTTACCTGAATAGATAGGTTCTCCAGATGAGAAAATATATTATTTGAAAAGAAACATTTTTCCACATCTGGATTTGTTTTGACCAAAAACGATACCAGTCTTCATTTTCATCCGTGAAATCTTTTTCTTTTGCAATAAACAGAAATTTTAAAAGTTAAATAACAAAATAAGGAACATGGTTTCTGTGGGCCTTTATGGTGCTTCAAAAAAAATTTTTTTTTTCAAAATTAAAGTGATACTGGACTTGCTTGCAAGATGGTTATACCTTCTTGGATCCTATATATATGTCTTAAGGCTTAGCATGGGCCACAGATGTTATTGTCATATGGCAGACACGAGTTTAAGTTCGGCCCCTTCAAAACCGCGATGCACAGTGGTAAGAATACTTAATTGTGCGCATCGGTCATGGAATTTTTCTGAAAGTCACTGCCTAAAATAGTTGGATTTTCTTATTATTCCCGCACTCAACATATGTGCTTTTTCTATCGTTCTTTTTGAATTAGTTTTAAAATTTTCCTAATGAACCACTAAAATATTTTAGCACCTTTGTATTGTTATTTTATAAAAAAATTATCGTTACTTTGAAAATAACTTCTTTAAATTTTCTACTGAAAAAAAATAAAAAAAATTTATCGACATTTCTAAAGCAAGATAAATATTTTGTTTGGAAAATCTAATAAACTTTGAAAACTTGTAACGGAAGTTTACGGATCTTCTGTAACTGAATTTCCGATATATGAATTTATGATCATATGTCAGTTCCTATATATATAGAGAGAATTCTACCTGTTCAGGATTATATGCCTTCAAATCGAATGACCTCGCTCTTTTATAGTACACATATAGTTTGCCCTCATCCCTTACTTTTTAAAAATCCAACGTATGAGAAATTATTCAATGCCTTATATTTTCTAAGCAGTATAAACAGGAAAGACGTCTCTCTTTTTTAAAATCCGAGACATCCCCCTTTTGATGACAAATATGGAAAAATGTTTCTTTCAGAGACAGTTTGATTACATAACGCAAATGTAATTTAAATCCGGTTTTTAAAATCCAGGTATAGAATGCAAAATCATGGCAATGAAATCAGCTGTTGCATATATTTATATATCCATAGCGTGGGAGTAGATCTCAACAATTATTTTTCAATTTCTCACTTCTGAATCTCTGGGAACCGAGGGAACTAAATGACAATTTTGTTACATTGCAATTTTTTCTTCAAAAGAAAAAAAAACCTGAAAATTTTTTGTTAAAAATTCGTAAACTGCACTGAAATAATTATATTTGGTTCAAATAATCGACTGATCATATTTATTTAAATAATTATGAGCCGAAAGTTTTGAACGAAATATTTTTTTCAATCTATAAATTATTAAAAATTATGATGACCATGTAAAATAAAACAGTAAATTAAACAATTATTAAATTTATTTATTTATTTAATAATAAATTTATTTAATAAATAAATTAATAACATCTTTTTAGATATTTTAAACAATATTTTGTAATAAAATTCGTACTTAAAGAAGACGAAGCTGAAGTACGCAACGTTTATGATAAACGATTTTTAAAGAAATAATTTTTTAAAGTGAAAAATTCTATAATTTTTTGTCTAAAAAAATATTTTCTATAATTTGTTGATTATTGAAAACTACAAGATTTATTTTTTAGGCAAAAAATTATAGAATTTTTCATTTTAAAAAATTATTTCTTTAAAACTCGTTTATCAT